TGCACAGATTCTAGTATATATAGAAAAACGTACATTGCACAGAGTTTGTAAATGTACAGAATATTCATAATAAATTCATAGTATATTCTGTATAAAAGGTTAATGGAACATGAATGTCTACACCATACAATACCGGCAGTCCGTCTAGTTTGTCTTTCTACGTGAGCGCTGATAGCAACAAGGTCATACCAGAGAACAGAGTCCACGTGTACAGAAACACACTGATTACGGCGCTCAGCTCCAGTCTGCAGTCCAGACGGAGCCTCCTCTATTCTTCTCCTTCCTTTCAGAAGTTTTAATTGAAGTTTCCCCAACCAGCAGCCTGCCCAGTTTTATCTAAACTCGCGGGCACGAGCAGCTGTTGCAGCCTTTTTGTTTCAATTCCCTCCTGGATGCCGCCTTTTGGCCGTTTTCGCACAAACCTCTCCCGGCGTGCGGCGTTTGCCGCAGCCTCTTTGACTTCGGCAGCCGAGCCGGTGATAAGCTGGTGTCGGACAAACCAGCTGCAGCTGCTGAATTAAGTGCAGGCTGCTTCTCTTTTCAGGACGAAGCTCTCGAGGAAGGAAAAAAAAAAAGAAGTTTGTCTTAAGAGAGAATCTAGGTCACGGTTTCAGCTGCAGTTCTTTGGTTTGCATTAGTTGGAGTCGCTGCTCATAGTTTGAGGCATAGTTTAACCACGAGAACATTTTCACTATCAAACTGACTAAATTGATGTCTTGGGATCATGAATTTAAAATAAACGCTCGATCAATACAGCCTCAGTACATAATATCACATTCAGTCTATTTACATATTACTGTCTCTGACAAATGTAACATTTCCATTCAATCACATGGAAATAAAAATAAGCCAATAGGTTTTCTGATTTGCTGTAACATATATTTGATGCCAGCTATTATAATCACAACCTGGATTTACCCTATAGGTTTAAAAAGGGACCTCCTGCTTAAATATTAATAATAGTTTAAGTTCTATAAACCGTAATCTCACTGGTCTCCTGATTTGCTGTCCTCAGGTATTGCAGAGGTGTATAAGCTGGAGAGCAACGAGAACCTGCAGCAGACTCTGGACTCCATGCAGATGCCCACAGTGGAGTACAAGGAGATCAACATGGACGACTACAGTACGTCTCCTCACTCGGACAAACACTCAGCCGCTGTGCAAGAACTTGTTATGAGGCACTTGAAGATGAACTTATAAAGACACTAGATGGCTGCATACAGAGCAAATGCACAAGAGGACAGTCTATTAGATTTTGGCTCTACAGTAGCATGTTTAGTGTGTATTCTTAACTCGATCATACTTAAGAGATGCTCATACTTTTCTACAATTTGTCAAAGGTCTTATTTTTAGCAGCAACTGATTATTGTTGTTGGATTCTTTTTTTACATTGCAAATAATGCTATAAACAGACGGGTGACAAATTCAAGGAAAAAACCTGAAGCCTTTGACCTTACAGCGAGGGGATCTGGTGTCTGTGTTGGGCTTTCAGGGGCATTTTTGCCCCTAAGATGGCAAAAGGGTCACAAGCTGTTCTGAGTGGTGAAACATTTCCATCCAGATCCCTTTGCGGTCGTCAAATCTGAACCAAAATTCAACACAAAGGGGAGATTTTGGACATGATGTCCTCCACCATCATCAAAACATCAAATGAGGGAATATTTTTGGGAAGAATCGAGTTCCTAACTCCAGTAGATGTCCAGAGATTTGAGGGATCGATGCCAAGGAGCAGTGAAGCTGTTCTAGTGGCACAAGGTGGCAAAACACCTTATTAACACACCTTCTCCTTTAATTTGTCACCCATCTGTAGCAGTTAAATGGCACCAAGGCATGTTAGTGTTTACTTTTTAACTTGTGACACCTTATGCCACCTTGTTCATGATAATAACAGCTAATAGAGTTCACAATATACTATCGTTAAAGAGGACTAAGTGAATTTATTGTGCACTAACAGTGTTGTGTCTCTGCGTTACAGCCTTGTCCCTGCAAATCCTGAAACCCGCCGGCTTCGCGGACTCGGCCCACTACCCGCTGCTCCTGCTTGTGTATGTATCAGCGCGCCGCTTCGCACCGACAAGAGAAAAAAAAGAAGTTTGTGTCCATTAGCGCTGCTGACTCATGTCCACACTTCACTCCCGAGTTAGAAGAGGACATGTCCATCCTTATCAATGGAAACTTCCTGAGCAGAGTTTTAATCAGCCATATTAATCTCACTCAGAGCGCCGCTGCTTTGTCCTCTACTCCAGCTGGATAATAATTACACTGGGAACAGGGAAACTTAACCTCCTCTCCACCCCGTTCTTTCATTAGCATTTCTATCCTCGGGCCTCAGACTGCTTTGCTTTGCAGCTCAAACCGAGGCTTTGGAGAACGGTGCCCCTGCTGGCATGTTTCTGAAAAAAATGCTAACATCATTTTGTGTAAACCCACATTACTCTTAGGTGGAGGAAGTTCCCACCTTAAAGTTTTATTGAGACTCTTCCTTCATCCTCTTGTCGCTTTCAGTTTAAGCTCCTCGTAGTTTGAATCTAATTTATATCTGAGTGCAAATGTAGAATATCTGCAAAAAGTCTCATTGATTTTAAATGTTTGCTCTGTGTTAAGCTTTCCTGTATTTCCCCTGTGCACTAGTTTCTGGTAAATGAGAGGATAATGTTATGTATTCAGGCATCTACACAGACACCAACTCATATCCTGTTAGTTTTTTTTTTAAAAATGTGCCTCACAGCATTAATTGTGCTGATCTGGTTGTCTGTGGTGCAGCGACGGGACACCTGGTGGCCAGATGGTGTCGGAGAAGTTCCACATGGACTGGGCCACGGTTCTTGTGAGCAGCTTCGGCGCCATCGTGGTGCGCTGCGACGGGCGAGGCAGCGGCTTCCAGGGCACCAACCTGCTGCACCGCATCCAGAAGAGGCTGGGAGTGTACGAGGAGCAGGACCAGAAGGAGGCGCTCAAGTAAGTGGAAAAGTCTTCCTGGAAAACCGGACATTAAATACAGGTTTAGACGTGTGTGTCATGAAACTGTATCTGTGCTTACATGGAGCCACAAATATTGACAAAAAAATTTGATCTAAATTGGCTTATTTGCACATTAATTTCTCATTTTAACATTTAAATTTCTATGAAACAAATCAGAATGTGTCGTACAAACACCCTTTCTCACCCTTCTCTCCTTTTGCTCACACATGTCGAGTAGCTGGTTTGGGAGAATTCATATCAGGGATTACTGCATAAATAATTAAACTACAACGAGTGGTGCCATCAGATCAGTTTCCTTCCTTGTGAATCACTTCAATAGTATGATGAAAGTTCCTCGTAAACAGCTGATAAAAACATTTTTGTGTACAGAAAATGTAAAGCTAACATGATGCTATGTTGCCCGTTGGTTCAAGAATGTGAGCTTACCTGCTTACCTTTAGTTTGACTAAGAGTAAATCATGTGAGCTCAGATGTAATGTAGTTCAATTTACTTTCAGTCATACACGCTGGGGTTTATTAGCCACATCTTGAGCCAGAGTTCAAACTGTGTCAATGGTTTTACTAATTCATGCCATACTCCTTGTGTAATGCTTAGTCATATATTTTAAATTTGCTTTTTGGCGAACACTGAGCTGAAGCTCGACTTTAAGAAATGGTTTCGCAATTCAAATTTCAAGCAAAATATCTGTCAGAAAAATAGCCATTAGATATTTTCCCTAAATCATTCCGCCTTATTAAGAACTGTTTAAATCGGTCGCATCTTATGGAGAAGTCGGAAAGAAAAGAGATGGTAGCTGAGAAGTTAGATCACCATGCAAACTAACATAAACATCATAGCTCCATGTGATGCGCCATCCCAAAGACGTCTCGTTTTGGGCGTGAGTGCACACAATTTGCACAAGTTTAAAGTTACAAATCCCTGGAAGCTCATGACTTGTCGAACCCACCGAGTATGACTCGATAATTAAATTTGCCGAATACTTCTGAAAGTTCTGTGGCTTAATAAGGAGTGCCGCTGTGTTTTTCCAAGTGTGATTTCACTCCCACCGTTCGCCAGCTTGTGAGTCAGCAGATCAGCCACCGCGAAGCTGTTCAGGACCCGGGGATTTGTAACTTATAAACTCACGCAAAGTGCATGAAGTCAGTCTTAAAACTAGGGATGTCAGTGGAGGTAATGCATCAGGGTCTGTAATCTCTGCTTGGGCTGCTGCTGCATCGTATGGATCAATGCTGTTGCTTGGCATTGCACAGCAGGATTCCTTATCTTTCATCAGATTTGACTGATTTTAGCTACTTCTAGGCAAACAAAACAAAAAGCACACAGGTAACAGCACATGGTACAACACTGTGTGACATCAACTTCTCTTTTAGCTACAGTTGCTGTTGTGAGTTCTCCTAACCAGAACCAATGTTTATCTTTTACAGCTTTATTCTAAAAGAGCCATATGTTGACAAAACCAGAGTTGGAGCTTTTGGGAAGGTAAGAATAGTCTCAATGTGTGCTGTACCTGAAAGAATTAATATATTATAGGAACTAGGGACCAAACAGGTTGCAAAAAAAAACTGGTTATTCTTTCCGCTGCAGCCTGTTGGCTCTGTGATAACATGCATTTGTCGTCCCTCAGGTGTACGGAGGCTATGTGACCAGCCTGTTGGTCAGCGGCGAGGAGTCTCCCGTAAAATGCGGCGCCGTCCTCTCGCCCATCACTGATTTCGAATTATACGGTAAGCTGTGTTTGCGGCGATTTCTTTAAAAATATGTACACTCAAATGCTAAAAAGCTACAGGCTACGCTGTGCAGTAAACAAATTCAGTATCTCTGCATAATCATTCCAGCTCAGGTAGCGCTGTCAGAACGAATTCAAAGGGAAAAAGAGAGACAGATTCTAAATCTAGCACCTTCCTCCCCTCCTCCCTGCAGCCAGGATTACTTTCGCCGACTGTGTTACACATGTATGTACCCTGTGTGAGGAGAGAAAAGAGTCTTATCTGTGTGATGGCGCAGATACAGCTCGAACCCAATCCTAGCGGCGCCAGACAAAGTTAACTACGCCGCCCTCACCTCGGCTACCAAAGGAATAAAATGTGTGAAATGTAGAATTTGCGGTGTATCGGGAGAGAGACAGAGACGGTGCCGTCGTAGCTGTAGGCGCGCCGAGTAAGGAAACTGCAAATTAAGGAGGAGCTGGGCGTTGCGGTGTGACTGATTTCCCATCTATTTGATTTCTCTCGCTTTGCCAGAGGGGGTGAGAGACATGCCATGACACTGTGTAAGTTTGGAATTGCAAATGAAGACGGTCTGCAACTGCTTCGAAAACTAAGGAATATGTAGATGGCTGAATATATTTGAATAATGGGGAAGAAAAACCTTTAAAAAATGGCCAGAACGGGACAGAAATGGTGCATCAGTCCTCGTATTAATGGGACATTTTCATTTGATTTTGATGTCAAAGCAAATCCTAAGTGCTTCAGCAGAGGGCAGCGGGGCTTCTTTTTTTTTTTTTACCTCTCATTTGCAAGACTTCTGCAGTTCCCGCTATTTATTATCAACTCACACAGCTTAAGGCGTGAACGGTAGACTGCTCAATCTTTGCCCAAGAAACTGAATCGCCTGTGTTGAGTCATGCACTTGTCTCCTCTATATAAAGGTCTGTGCACTCCTTACTGCATTGGACTGCATGTACAACACTGCCCAACTAGTGTTTAGGTGTTTTTCCAGAGATGTTAACTGCCTTAATAAAGGCCCAGTTGGGATGGCTACCAAACCAATTACCATGCTACAGTATTACCTACAACAGCAGAAAAATGTTCTAGAAGGCTGACAACAACTCCAAAAGGAACAAAAAGTCATCATCTGTCTCTGGAGAAGCCACACCATCCACATATACAGACATCCGAAGCTCTCTGGTTGGAAACACTTGACGCCACGAACCAAATTCCCGACACCTTGTCAGCAAAGTCAGGAAAGCAGAAGCCTTCGCTGTACAAACCAGTTAGGTGGATAGCAACATCGAGTTCACGAGGGAGGATGTCAGGGGAAAACAAGTTGACTTTTTGGATTGTGCTTTGTAAAACCGAGAAAGATGGAAGCCCCACTGAAGCGTACAGGAAACCCACACACACACAGAGCAATATCGACTGTTTGACTCCCACCACCCACTGGAACACAAGCTGGGAGTTATTAGAACATTACACCGCTGGGCTGGAAAAAAAATCCCCAGAGACGGAGAGGAAAACAAAAAGGTAGTGTAGACGCAGTAAGAGAACACTGTGAACCTGTAGCTATCCCCAAATGGGCGTTGTGTGGTTCGCTAGGACGTCTGGAAAAGAAACACCAAGCCCAGCTATGTTATCATTCCTTGTGTTGTCGGAGTGTACAAGGAATTTAGGATTTTCTCCAACTGGTTGTATATGACGTCCAATGCCGCTCCATCGAGTTAGCTTCTCGGGACAAGACTTATCTCTTGGATAAGGGACACTACTTTCAGGACAGGACTGGGCTTAACTGGAAGTGCTATCTAAATAGAAGAGATGGCACCATTTATGCGGCTCTTCCTCTTCAGTTTTTACTAAGTTTGGGGTGATAATTAATACCAAGAACTCCCAACCAGCCAGTTGGAATAAGGGAACTCTCTTGGATGAAACCATCTACAAGAACCAGAAAAGACATCCAAGCACTTAGGTTACTATCACCTGAATGACTTAGAAACACTGAGTCATATCAAAATAAAATACTAACTGCAACCTTATTTCCTTTCCAGCATCTGCTTTTTCTGAGAGATACCTCGGACTGCCCAAGCCTGATCCAAGGGCATACACAGTAAGATTTTTTTGCATTTCTTTTACACTCAAACTCCAATTGTGATAATTACTGAAGTATTAATTTGCTCCCGTGTGCCTTTTTTTTTTTTCAGACGGCAAATTTAGCGCACAGAGCATCTCAATTCATGGACAAGAAGTTTCTTATTATCCATCCGACAGCTGACGGTAGGTTAAGAATTGTGTCGGAATAAATGGATGAATCCGTAAACGAGAACCAACTAATATTTTTGCGTCTTTGTTTTACTGCAGAAAAAGTCCATTTCCAGCATACAGCCAAATTTATCGCCCAGCTCATCAGTGAAAAGGCCAACTACACCTTACAGGTACGCTTTGCTTTGCTTTCACTCTGCATTAGCAGACTGCTGCTCATCCAATTTCTCTGCTTGTCTTTCTTTTCCTGGTTCAGTTCTCTTACAGCCTTTGGGAGCTTTGTGATCCCAGTGGTGGTCCCACAGCAGGCAGAGGATTAGCTGTTCACAATGCCTTCATTCCATATAATGAGATTATGAGACCTCCTTGGGCGTCCTGCATTAACACCAGGACTAATCCATTTAGGGTACAATGTAGTGCAGATGAATGTTCATCAAAGCTCATTACTGACCAATAGACACCTCACTGTGCACACACGCATTAACCTGGTGTCTCTGCTAGCCGCTAATAGCTTCATATCAACGCGATAAATCAGTTTTTTTAATAATTTCACCATTGAATCCTTTTGGAGTTTTGGACTGTTGCTTGGACAAAACATGATGCCTCGAGGTTTGGTAACGTTACATTCTTCAAATCTGAAAAGAACCACAACTGAAATCACAATTGCAATGTCGTCCTGTTTTGAGTTTAGTTTTGGGTTCCAATCACTCATTTTGCAAGCACCGCAAAAACATGATTGTGCTCCTGCCTCACACGAGATAAATAGTTCCCTTTTGCATCCAGTTGCTTCGGGCACATTGTTCAGTAATCAAAACGATAATGAGAAAACACTGTCTGACTGAAGAATCTCCGGGGTGTCCTGGTAGCCTAAAGTTTCGCAAGACATAAGGAATCTTTCTTGGTGTATGACAGTAAACTAAACCGATTATTGGCCTGGCTGATACTTGGATTTTTCCCGATTATCTGTATTGTTCTTTTTATTGACACATTATTGATAAATTAAATGCGCCACTTCAGATCTGTCGTGACTCTGTGGTCTCAGAAATGTCTCTCAAGCAAAGAGTACAAGAACCGAACAAGGAATACGACTTGTAGCTACTCTCACAGTGGCTACGGCGACGCTAACAGCTAGCAGGGCAGCTACAGATTAACCTGAAAGAGAGTCAGGAAAACAGTAATTAATATTGCTTTAGAAGATGGACCTTAATGGGTAATAAAAGTGGAAGAACAGCAAACAAAATGGCAGGAGACAAGGTGACAAATATCAGTGGATCCCACATAAACAGAGGAGAGCGTCTGAATTTAATCACTCCTGTTTCTATTTTACATATCAGTTATATAATCAATGAAGAAGTCTAGTTATCAATGACAGATTCCCTGCTTGTTAAAACATTACATTTTATACATATCAGTTCAAAATATCAGCCGTTCTTGATTTCAAGTAATCAGCACTGGCTCTAAAAAACCCATATCGGTCAGTCTCTACTTTAAATCTCCTTGTGTGTTCTGATACTTGAACTTCTTCTGGTGATTTTGCCGAATTGCAACCATAAATATTACATTTTGTGCATCGTGCTCATGTTCTCACCTTCTGCGTTGTGCCTCAGATCTACCCAGATGAAGGCCACTTCATCCACAGCGACGCCACAAGGCAGCACCTCAGCCAGTCCCTGGTGAACTTCTTCGAGGAGTGCTTCAGGCTACCGGAGAGAGTGTTTGAGGAAGCTCTGGAAGAAGAAGTAGAAGACGAGGGTTAGATTTGGCCTCGTCGGGCTCCTCCTCTACCCTGAATTCCTCCCCCACCTCCCCCCGCCTCAGCCCATCCGGTCATCTTACCTACCTTGCATCCTGTCCGTGCGCCCAAGCACAACACTGGCGTCCACAATATGCAACTCTCATCTGTTTCTGTTCCGGGTCGACTCACCGCATTCCCAACGCCGAACCTGAAAACTGCCTTTCCAGCAGACGACGGATCCACCCCGACATCCATCCCAGTTTCTTCATCTTCAGCCCCGAGTTGGAATCCAAAAGGCCCTCCAGAGAGCCAACAAAGACTGATGACCTGACATGAAGTTTTGGAATATACTGACAGGAAGCAGTCTCCTTCAGCGGGATGGACCAGCTCCTCAAAAGCAGTGGAGAGAAAGCATCAGCTCTCACACAGACTTTGAAGCTGTGAGGAGACGGAACACCTTATAGCACATAACTTGTATATTGATGAAAATCAGACCCCCGATGGAAAAAAACACTGACTGGCAGTGTTCATAATGGGTGTCTGGAATAGTGCGGATACAGGAAATGTTACTATTTTTAAAGTTGTGAAGAACTTTTCATGTTGGACTGTGGTTGTGTCTATTGTTCTTACAGTATGTAAAATAGCACACAAACATTCACTCGGCTTTTACAGATATTTGTTTTGTTTTTTCCTTTCGATATTCATGTTTGCCCCGACGTTGGTTTTATCTCGTGATTTCATTTTATGTGTTTCAGTGATGCTGACCGAATTCAGACTGGCAAAATGTTTTAAAGAAAAAAAAAAAAAAAAAAAAGCGCCATGGGGTTTTCTTCAAGACGGTTTTATTGTGACGCTCCGCTTTTCTCAAACTGTGTTCAAAAAGCATTAACTCGGTTTAGTCACTGTGCCTTACTTTTGTCAGAAAACCTCCAGCTGCGGGACTGCATTTATTAACTACAATACAGCAGATTTTTACTGAATAGTTTGGCATTTTGGGAAATATGCCAGCTTGGTTTTTTTTTTTTGCCAAGAGTGAGACAGGAAGATTGATACCACCTGCTAAACAAATGGGCACGTCAGCCACAATCCCTCAACCTTTGGGTTTCAGCTACAACCAGAGAGGCAACAAAAAATAATCCAGCCACGACCATCAGTCCACGCTTGCACTGTATAACGCATTAAATGGTCACAACCAGCAGAGGAGAGATGGCAGAACATAATGGAGCGGGCTAGAGGTGAGCAGAGATGCTCACAATGAAGGGAGTGCACATAAATTAGGTGAATAACTTTGCTTTTGAATGCTCTTTGACTTTCACAATGAGGGTGTCACATGTACCATCTGTGGGCGTGCCAGCTACCAGAACATGGAACAGAGAAGCTGTAATTACGACACACAGAGAGAGAGTTTAACTTCATTCTCTGGCAAAGACGCTACTGTAGCTTTACATAGCAAATAGTTGTTTACTGCTCGATATTTATCTTCAAAATGGCTTTGACATTCACTGTTGGCATGCTAACAAACCAACCAGTACCCATGCTACTACATTTAGTCTGCCAGAGACAACAAAAGTACCACAATATCCTCCTACATCTTGAAGCCTTCTACAGTCCTCTGACCATTCTGACCCACAATCCTCTGCAGAAGATGCATCACATACATCATGGTGTCTCCGCCGCTGAGCGTGCACATGACAGCTCATTCCACACGACAGACCGTGACATGCATATGGGCAAGACGGTCACAATATTCAGACAAAGCAGCGTGTCCCAGTTGCATACATGCTGCATGCAACAGTGCGTACTCTGTAAGGGCAGCTGCAGAACATATCACAAACATTTCCTGGAGGGGCTCGTAGAAAGGTTTTTTCTTGATAAGCCACCTGTCTCCTGCGGTAACACTGTTTTTAGAGCTTGGCAAAAAAAAAAACATGAGCATATTTCCCATGATGCCTTGGGAACTATTAATAGCTATTGTTTTAAGGCGAGACACGGCATTGTTTGGATGTTATGCTTCCATTAAATGTCCAAAATGCACATTTAAGCGTTTATGTAATTCATTAAAACTGGTGCATATTCAATTAAATAATACATAATTTGCATAATCAAACTTTAAAGTTCAGAAAACTAATCAACTGTTCCCCTGCAGTGTCTCGCCTTAAACCCTTAGCTTGGAACAGATCATAAATTATTACATTTCAACAGCAAATTGACTGAGAAAGTCTGAATTTCACAGAAAAACCCAAATCAAATCTAAAAAAAAAAGCTAAGTGGCATTAAATCTAAAATGTACAGAATCTGCATGTATCACCGCTCATAGTAAGAGTGAGGAGGGTAGATGAGGAAACTCTATAACCAGTACAGAAACTGCAATACTCATTCTTAAAAAGTCTGGTGTCACGTTCTCCCAGCTTAAATCAGCGAACACGTTGTGTGAAGGCGAGAAGCCATTAGGATTAGCGTTACACCCCGGAAAAGTATTTGTATATAAGGAGAAAAACCTGTTTTCACCCCCAAACGATGAATTCTCGAGGCACAATTTTAATTTATCATTTTTCTACTTTTTATTTATTATTTTCGATTTTACTCGAATGGCCATTTGTGTTTTACGCTTCAGTGCATGTTCAGAGGTAATTTGCAGCACTTATCCCTGATAGCTCAGTTCGACATGGTAATTTTTTGACATCTTGAATGTTCCTTACTGGATTGCATAAATTACATTTCCAGTAGTATTGTGATTGAGATCCCAGTCTCGTCAGCTTGATGTGTAAATGTTATTCAAATATCATTTTATTCTAAAACAAACAAACAAAACAAACAAAAAAAAGAGCGAAAAAAAAAAAAAAGCAGTATTACCTGAGTGTTATTTGTGCATAAAGCATTTTGGAAGTTACATTTGACTATTCATTTCTGTTCTCCTGTTGCCGTCCTTGAATCGAGCTGAAGGTGGACTTTATAGACGCCAGTGGCAACAGCAAACTTTCTTGCCAGTGGTTGAGGACTTTTTCCAAGATGCTCAACTTTGTTATCCAAAGCGTAGACGGAGATTAATGGCAGATTGTGGCATGAAGGTAAATGTTAGAATAAAAAAATAGATATTTTATCAGCCTTTGGTGTTTTTTTGGAATGTTTTTTTGGGTGAATTTTAAAGCTGTTTTGGGTTTTTTTTTGGCCACTAGGGGGCAGCAGAGCAAACTGAAAATTGTCACTTTACTGCAACATTTCCAAATATTTTTGTGTTTCCTGTGACCTAGCGAACATAAGCCTGACTTATACTCCGCTTTGAGACAAATATTCTTCCTCTAGTTGCTCATTGTGTGGATGGGAACTCTAGAGTCTGGCGATAATTCTCAGAAGAAAAAAACAAAGAGCCTTAAAATGTGCAAGAGCATTTAATTGTGCAATTGGAAGACCCTGCCATAGCATCCACAAAGCATGATTCGACATGTTCTAAATCCCCCACTGCATCAATATTTATGCTGCATGGATAAATCTTCCTCTCTTTCCAGTTTAGCACTTTGTTCAGTTGCAGATTGAACAGATGGGGAGAGCCGCGGATACTAAATCAAACAAGTCAAATTATCTGTAAACATTCTCGAGTCACGATTAAAGCAGCCAATCAGCCGGTGAATGGGAAAAGCACTCTGCTAACACGCATCAGAAATAGTATATTTGCTGAAAGCTACTGTTGGGCCCCTTGTAAACAGGACTGTAGTTGTATATCAGCGCTCTGCTCTCCCCCTCCTCGGATTCAAATCTGTGAAAGTTCTTCCTGGCTGTAAGGAGAGAAAACAAGATCGCACTTTGCTCGGTATTCACAGCTACTGACTGAGAAATAAGAAAGCAGGAATAACGATGTGCTCGTACCTTCGTTGACGAAGAACTCGGCCATGTAGAAGGTTGTCTTGACTGCAGATGGGGAATGTGGAATGTAGGGCCTCGACCATTCGAATGCGTTCTTCTCTGGATGCCACTGTGTTCCATAGATGGGATAATCATATGCTGCCGAAAGGTAAGAAGGAAGAAGAAGGAGCGCTCATTAAAGCAGTGTGTTATTTTGCTGTGCACTGGTGACATAGTGTTGCTGTGGAACTACCTTCCACTGTTGACACAAACTCTATTTTTCCATCTGTATTTGTGGAGAGAACTTTGTAAAACTTCCGCAGGTCCTCGTTTGTGTTGTAAGTCTGGAAAGAAAAAACAGGAACAGAGGAACACATTCTGGTGAACTACACCCTACTTTCTGTTTACAGTTATGTTAAAGAGGAAGAATATGTTCTTAAAAAATATTCTAGGCGACCTCTATCATCACATGGTGCTGTTACATAACTAATGAATGACGTACCGACGTTGCCAGACTCCACTGGTGACTGTTTTCTGTCAGCGGCTCAGAAGCCAGATCCTCCATGAGTTCAGCCGGGAAGCCTTTAAACATCCTGCTGTCTTTGGTTGCTGGGAAGGAGACGGAACATCGTGATCATTAATAAATAAAAATGTCTTTTCAAGGATATTTAAAGGTGGTAATGTAATGTACAATGTTGTCCTCTCGCAATTTTGTGCTGCTACAAACTAAACATAGGAGCCAATCAAACTAACATTCTTATATGGCAATAACAACCTTTCAGAAAATATAGATAATAATGAATTTAATGCAGAAAATGTGGGTCAATATTGTACTTTTGTCAGTCACTATGCTTAAACAACTGCAGTTAAGGTGTTCAAATCCTGAATAATGCTATAAAAAATAAATTAGGTCAAGGTTAAGGGGACATTTAGGCATCCTACACAAGTGTTTTCTAATAAAAACAAATCCCTTCGTTCACTATAAAAGACAAACTCGGACTTAAACCTGGATTTTCACATATGACATTAACAAATAACCGTGTCTCTCTAGCTGTACATCTATGAGCACAAACTCATACCAGCAGTGAAGTTCAGAGGCAAAGCCACGCCGCTTGTATTGCTGTGTGACAGAGTGGAGTTCGGGCTCGTCAAATACATCAGCTGTTCAAATCCAAGGCAGGTTCCCCACACGGGGAAGTAGTCGCCTCTCTTGTTGGCCTGGAACAGCATCACAGTCCTTATGCAGCACAACCCAGCATTAGCACGTTATGGCTTGATTAATAACATGTTACAGGTTTACCTGAATGGCGAGCTCATAAAAGATCTTCGCAGCCCGTTCATAGCCAGATGAGATAATGCTGACGCCTCCGCCTGGGTACAGGATGCTGTAAACAAACAAACAACACGCAAAACTGAGTCACAATTAGGGAAAAAAAATAAGAAAATGGAAACTCAAATGAGGGTTAAACAAAAAAGAAGAGAGACTTAGAATTTATGAGGCAAGTAATGATTACTTTTTTTATTATTTGCTTGGTTTATTTAATGTCGGTGCATCCCGAAGCCCAGCATGACGTCCACACATGTCTTGTTTTGTCCACAAAGCAGAGGGAAGAACAAAGAAACTAGACAATCTTCACATTAAACAAGCAAGAATCAGGGAATTTAGAGTTGTTTTTTCTCCTTACTAATTATTTAGGAGGGGGGAAAAAACCTAATTAACAACTAGTAAGAATTACTCATGGACTTTAGACTTTGATTGATGCACCAAAAACTCAAGGTGTGAATAGATCCAGGTTGAGATGATCAATAAATCATTTAGCTATTAATAAAACAAACAAACCTTAACCTCAGAGCCTACAACTACGCCTTAAAATCTGCTTACAAAAGTTGTGATTGTCATTCCAATATTGTATTTTTTTTCTTTGTAATTACTAATCATTATATTTAATCTACACTGTTTACTTTTAGGATTATTTTATTATACGTGTGTTAAGATTTACAGAATCTGCCGCCACTAAAACATGTGCAAAACTCAAAATCAGCACTGTAACAGGACATTTGCTTTATAATTAGAAGCTTTATTGTAATTATAATGTCAGTCAGCAATACCAGGATGTTTTGAAGGCATTTCCTGAGTAACATGTGTGCAAAACATAAAGTCTGCAAGGATTTTGCAAAAAAAGTTGCAGAAAGTCTATAAAGAAACCCAAAAAGGACCCTCCAGGGTTAATAAATGTGTGAATTGTACATGCTAAAGTGCAAAGTGTAGCTTACAAATGGTGTAATCAGTCCACAAGACCAGCCATAAAGCATTCACAACTGCAAACTCTGCCTGAACAAAACCTGGACATGACAGGATTCGCACAGCTGCAGTTTTAGGTCAAATGACATCACAAATGAAAGCCTGATGTGTGTGTAACATGCAGCTGATGTACCCGTTGATGGACTGGAACAGTGCCCTGTACTCCTCCGGTGTCTGGTCAATCCTGTAGAGAAGAAAAAAGGGGAGTTCACACTGATTTAGTTGCAACACACACTCTTATCTTCTGCAGCATTGACACTTGTGCTGTTAGACGATAACAACTCACAGGACAGGTACGACCCTGGCTCCCGCCGACTCCAGGAACTTCACATAGGACGCAGCGATGTAGGAGGTCTGGTTCGGTTTGGGTTGATAGACCTCCTGAGCCAGAACACCTTGTATTTTAAAGCAGGAAAAAACAAAACCGGTTCAGCATTTCCACGCACCTCACGTGACTTGTGTTGACACTAGCCAAAGTGAAACTGCGTTGCTGCTTTTAGCAAAGTTAGCTAACTTACGGCTAAAGTGAACAAAGTGTTGGTAACTTACCGATTATCGGTCTGTCATTTATCATGGCGGACGAATAAAAGGGCAGGAGCGAAAGAGAAAGGCAAAGCAGCAAGAGAGGCATTTTGTCTGGAGGCGATATTCACATTTGCTCGTCTGAGTGTCGCCGGTTACTTCTCACAGCTTTACACGGGACTTCCGGGCTGCCTCCTTCATAATAAAGGCGTCGCGTTGACCTGAAACGACCTCGTCAAAAATCGACCGTTTGTTTTCACACAATTAGGAGAACAAGTAATTAACCAGCAAGATGCAAACATTTTCTTTTTGTGTAATGTTTTTGGTTAAGATAACTGTTCCAAGCAAGCTGCTCGCAGTAGTCAATCGCCGTTCAAACCGGAAACAGATGTTTTATTTTGTAGACTGTTGGCTAATAGGTACAGAAATATTGAAATTGATTATTGTCAATTAATTTTGACGTTATGAGCCCAGGACAAAAGCTATTAGTTTTTAAATGTATTATGATTAGATAATATAATATAAATATCACTGATATTTAAATTACCAGCATAAAAATAATGTCATATCACCAGCTAGCTGGTGCTTCATCAAGCTAATATAGCACTATTAGCTTAGCGTTCAGTTACACAAATAATACTTTTTTTTTTAGAACTGATTAAAAATTATGCTACTGTATTAGATGATGTGAGGGATATATTGTAGTTTATTTGTGATTATATAAAAACACAATAAATAAACTACGATTTTAGCTTCTTTTGTTATTGTTGTTGAAATAATTATCCAACTTAGCAGAAAAAATACAGAATTTTATGATTAAAATTATATATATATATATATATATATATATATGCTTATTTTCAAGTGTTTTGATTTAACACAATTACTCCATAGCCAGATACTGTGCAACTTTAACCGTGATTGATTAAAAGTACGTGGATCTAAATTATTCATAGACTACATGTAAAAGATGAACAAAGCCTCCAGGTCTGAAAAGTGAGGCCGTACACCTGTATTCTTTCTAACATCGAGCTGTTCCTCTGGTTGCAAAAAAAAATCTGATTGTATGGAAGTCTGTGAGAAAAGGATTTGTCTCTTGATTTATTAACTCAATAATCATCTTCCAACAGAGTTTATCATCTAAATTGCTAGTTTCAAGACTTTTTGAACACAGCATGGTAGTTATTTTGTAAATTATAGGTCTATTTTGAATAAAATAGACAATAAAGCAGAGCAGGTTTTAGAACTGGGCTACCTTGTGATTGACAGGTCGTTACCATAGCATCGTGTCTAGTGTCTGATGCATCGCGGTGACATCCAGATGCCAAACTCAAAGCTTTAGAAAGTCCACAAACCAACAACGTCACGTTCACGACAGTTATTTTTTATATAGAGTCTTTGGTAACAGAACAAGCAGGCAATCAGCGCCATGTTTACTGTTCAAGAGCATCACAGCCGGTCTGGTTGGAGACAATAAGGCGATTCACGTTCACACCGGCAGCAGTCAACTTATCGTGTAACTGGCCAATGACGTCCTGAGACAGCTCACGAGTGCGAGCCAGGATCCAGGCGAAGTCGACGTGAAAAAGACGAAAGTAGTCGGCGCAGGAGTACACCAAAGCATATGAGTGGTAGTCTGTGGAGAGCACCCAGTAGGGAGCATCTGGAACACCTGGTTCAGAAATAAGTGGTATAAAACAGTACAGAGGAAGCTGTTCTGTGCTCATCTTTTACGCTCAATTTTCTAAAACCACTGTTTTACCTTTAAAGAAGCCGACGCTGAGAATAGCAGGTTGAGATGCGTTTTCAACTTTACCAACTCCTTGAATTGAGTTTATCTTCCCATTAGACCTGAACAGAGAGGAGGGGAAGGTTACGAGGAGCAAAACTGCTCGTATTTATTCTTCCGCTGGGTAAAGGATAATAGCTTTTCTGAGCCAAATAAAAATGTTGACAACTAAGCAGCGGGGAAGTGGAATCCTTACAGAATCTCTGCATTGTGAACGCTGACCGTCCCGTCAGGGAGGAGGCTGTATGTGGCTTGGCTACATTTTCCTTTTTCAAACACAGCTGGGAGCTTCTCTATTTCATACCAGGTGCCCATATACTGGAACAACAAGAGTGCGAAGGGTTTTTTATCAGCTTGTTGGCGACCAAACCACTGGCAGCTGGAAATTAAAAACAAACCATCTACTCTCCTACAACTAAATACCCTTAAATAGCAAATAAAGATGCATGCAAGATCAATACACAAACCAATAACCATCAGACTGAGTTTACCTTTGTAACATTGAAGTCCTCTTGAACAGATGGCTGGGGGCAGTTGCCGATATGGAAAGACTGACCGTCAGTTGCTGCTGCAGTCAGGAGAAGCACAAACAGGACCTTTAAGTCCAAATTAAATACATTTGGTGAGTAAACTGACTGCTAATTTCCAAAAAAAAAGTACAACAATAAGGCACTATACTTGGTGGATGGAGACAGATAATACATTTTCTTGATCATAAATGTAAGTAAATGGAAAAAAATGTTTGCAGTACCTGGAATGTCTTCATGTCCAAGTGGTTAAAAAAAGATCCACAAAAGAATCCAAAGTAAAGGAAGACGACCAACTACCACTCTGTTGTGTATCGGCTCAGCAAGAGAGGGTTGTGTTGTTTGGAAAGCTTTTCCTGCCTTGTCAGACCTTTGGAAGTAAAAATTTGTTTGAAGAGCTATGTTTACTTTCTGTTTACAGAACCTTTAACCTGCAGAGCGAGACAGCGACAGAATCACATCCAGTACGACTACTACACCTGTAGCTCTAGTGGCGCTGCAGCAAACTCCTCGGATTACTTTTTAAATTAAGTATGAACTCAACACAATTTCAATCCCAAGTTAACTGTGATACATGAAAAGCAATACTCTACTTCCAGCCCATGTTTTAAATGTGAAGCATCACGGCTATGTGGGTCTAAATCAGGGGTGTCAACATCCGGTCCTCGAGGGCCGCAATCCTGCATGTTTTAGATGTTTCCCTCTTCCAACACACCTGATTCAAATGATCAGGATCGTTATCAGACTTCTGCAGAGCTTGATGATGAGCTGATCATTTGAATCAGGTGTGTTGGAAGAAGGAAACATCTAAAACATGCAGGATTGCGGCCCTCGAGGACCGCAGTTCGACACCCCTGGTCTAAATGGAGGTTTTGATTGTTTGCTCCTTACAGATCAAGACACAAATCTGACTTTTATCACCATGAAAAGACGTAGAGGCAAGAGCCTAGTTGGTATATTTACGTAGCGCATTTTAACTTATCAAAGATGAACTAGTATGACTATATACACAAATCATGTAACCAGATTAAAAGCATCATTTACTCACACACCTGATAATGATGAACATGCTACTCTTAGCAAACTAGCATTTGAGCAGACAAAGAGCAACATTCACTTGTAATTGTGTTGACAATCAGCTCAATATCCACTGTTCTCGTTGCTGTTTTTGGCTCTTTAGTTGCTAAGCAATGAATATTCAGCGAGTAGTTGTCATAACTTTGCCACCATTTAGTGCTTACAAAGGTTGTGTAGTGTTCATTATTACCAGAAACAAGGCCAACACGAACTGAATAAACATAAATAATATCCGTTGCAAAGCCGTGAAATACGAGCTGAAGGACACCAAAACAGTCCTCGACGGGAAACAATGAGCTTCCTTCAGCTGTGATGACAATGAAACAAGTACAGGCTATGAAAAGAGAAATCTTTATTCAACAGAGCACCAATAATTATACAAAACATGTGCTCTCACTTTTGCCCGTAGACTTTTTTTTTTCTTCCCGACGTAGAACTGCATTGCTTGTTTGGATGGCACCTTTACACCAGGTGGAGTTTCGTTTAGACTGCCGTCAGAATAAAAGACAAAGTACAAAAAAAAAAAAACAGAAAATAGGCAAAAAGTGAGAAGAGACAGTCATTTGACAAACAACAAACGATAAATTACATTCTTAAAAATTTAATCATCTGATTTCATGTTATGTGCTGTGACGGTATAAATAAATCATTGAATTTAAATTAAATAGCCTATTAAAGAGAAAGAGCTGCTAAAGAGGTGAGATCACCGAGATGTATGAAAAGCTACGACACAAACGACACTTTCGATGATGAAAATGTTGAAAGTATTTTTTTTAAAAAAAGGAAGTACAGTGCATCAAAAAAATTACTTTGGTGGCAACACTGGTTGTCTGGTCGTCCCTTTGTTGGACGAGGGACGAAGCTAGCTGTGGAGAGTTCTGGCCTTTCAAAAAATTTTGAGTAAATGTTTCCTGAAATTCATTTAGAAAAAAAGGGTTTAAAAAAACTTCCATGACAACCTGTAAACAAAATAATCAAAGTAGCATTTTACGCTTCAAAAGTCTTGTTTCAGGACAGGTGCAGCCGTCCTCGGTCTCCACTTTCAGTCTTTTTGAAGAGACTTTTAAAAGAGACGTCTTATCCTCAACACACCTGGGTGACTGTGGGGAGGAAGAAAAGAATATCTGTGTCGCTTTATATTTGCTTCTTGTAAAGTGACACAGATGTGCCTTGTTGCAACTTGGATGAAGGTGCTGCGTGTATCATTTTAGCATTAATAAATCATTACCACATTGCATTTGAGATGTTATTGTCATGAATAAGTACAGCCTCTGCTGGGAAGACCGGCAGCCTGCCTCGGCCTCTGTGTTGCATTTTACATTACAGTATGTGCCCCCGGGTTCGAAATCTTTCAGACTGCTTTACAACGCAAAGGTACATTCCTTTCCTTTGCTTTGCAAGCAGTCCACAAAATGATTCCATTTCCAAAGCGTGGCATCATCTTCACGCCGGCTTCCCAGAAGATACCTTGGGCTGTTGTCAGGAGTTTGTCACGGCCTCTAAATCTTCTCGCTCCTCGCGAACAGAGGGGCGGCGGGAGAGGGAAGAGACAAATAGTAGCATTCTCTTGGTCCTCTGTTTTAAAAAACCACAAAATGTTACACGTAGCACCAGAGATGTGCTGAAAACGACGTCCTTTTCTTGACACTCGAATCTTGTCCCAGAGTGTTTCGCCTTTTACGGTGGCTGGGGGCTGGGTTCCTTGGTTGGAGTGGCATAGGGAGGAGTTAAGGGTTTTTGTGGGTCTCGATGCAAAGGACGATGTATTCGTTGGAACAGCTCCGCGTCTGCTGGCCCAGGAGCTGACCCGAAGTCAGGCTCGACGACTGGCCCATGACCGACAGGTGGCCCGCTCGCCACGTCTCGCAGTGTTTGTCCACCACTCGGAGACCCCTGCTGGTGGAGCCGTGCCAGATGCTCTTCTGAGGCCTGAGAGGACGGAAAATATCACTGTTATAGACAAATGAACGAATGTAAATAATCAATAAAGTAAATGGAGTTTACTGACCAGAAGGGGTCAGCTAGAACATCCCGGCCGTCGAAGGAGTAGATGGGTATCCTGGCATTGATTGGCCCACCGTCGCCGCTGAAAATCGACCGCCAGTTCCTAAACATCACGTCTCCCTGAGAGGAGACATATTGTTTCAGGTGTGATAAATGTTGAGTGTTAGCTGTTGTTCGACAGGAGGAAACAGTAGGAAAGCAGACTCACCCTGAGGTTGGTAACTGGCAGAGTTTCCCGGAAACCAGGATAGACGACGTGGACCAGGTCCTGCCTGTTGGATGAAATGAAGGCGCGGTAGTTTGGAGCCAAACCCATCGCCTTGGCCTGCTCGTAACACATCCGGTCAGCCACGTCGAGCCCCATCATGTCCCCTGAGTGGGGCTGGTTCAAGGCCACCAGGTTGAGCTTCAGGGAGGGGAAGCAACAGTGGTGTGAGTGCACCGTAGGACACTACAAATCGACACGCAGTCTTCAAGAAATTTAAGCCAAGACAATTAAAATCTAACTTTCATTAAGACGTACCCTTTCTTTAACTGATCGTATCCTTTCCATCGTGTCTCCTCTTACATGATATGCAACTCGAGGCTACATGAATCGTTGAAAAGAGATGTTAATTGGACAAATACTGCAATACAAAATTCTCAATTGCATGTCTTTACTGAAGAAAAGCAAAGAAAATAAACATAAATAAGATGCAATACGTACCTCATCTTGTGGAATAATGTTATTAGAGAGGTAGATCAGACTGCCGAGCTGCGAGGACACAATAGAAAAATCAAGACATGAAAATAGATTCCATATGTTTGGTTATATGTGGGGTACATCTACACATATATCAGTTCTCTGGACTTGCTGTTAGAGAACATATTTTCTAGTACCCATAGAATTATATTACATTTCATTAAATGAGGAAGCATGAAGCATTACTATAAGAACACAAGCATTTATATCAAACATATCATAGCATTCTAAGTTATTACCTGAATCTCTTTCCATCCCTGATAAACCTTGAGGAAGAGGCTGCCTGTTGTTGTGACGTAGGCCAGAGTCCCTTCTGCGTCCCTGACGGTGTGCTGCATCATAGTCTCACGAGTCGAAAATGTTTTCAACTAACAAACAGACAATAGTCAATATCACTGAAGCAAATAATACTGTGATTGTTTTGTTCCAACTATGTTGTGAAGGTTCAACGTTGTGTGGCCTGGTGGTTGCTCCACCAAATGGACGGCAGAAACAGTTTCACTTACAGATGCTGAGCTACTCGAAGAGCCAGGAGGTCCAGGTGGTCCGGGAGGTCCAGGAGGTCCAGCGATGGTCAGAGCTGCCGTAACAAAAGTGTATGAGCACCTTTCATGAAGTTCACTATGTTCATTACTGTATTTTTGCTGTAATCGTACAACATACTGAGGGTTTAATGAGCTGTACCTGAACCGTATCTTGAAGAAGACCCAGGGGGCCCTGGAGGCCCAGGAGGCCCAACAGGACCAGGTCTGCCATATCCTGGAATACCAGGTGAGCCTGGCACCCCAGGCTGGCCTGGAGGACCGAGCACCGACTCTCCTTTGGGTCCCTGAAACATGTCAGCAAGAAGTCACCGATTTCTTTCGTGAGTGTCTTTCAAAAAGATACCATGGTTGTGTATTCATGAAACGTTGCCTCACCACCAGTCCCGGTCTCCCTGGGATACCTGGTTGCCCTGGAAACCCAGCCTCCCCCTTGTCTCCCTTCTCTCCTTTGATGCCCTGGTCGCCCCTCGCCCCCTGTGAGTGCAAAGAAGCACAAACAAAAAAGTTGAGACTCAAGCACATAAAGTCAGCATGTCCCAAAACAAAATCAAAGGTAAGAAAGTTTTTGTGTGAAACTTACCCAGCCTCCTCTGGGAAGATATGTGCCTAGAAAAGAGAAAAGAGATCAGGGAGCAGAGGAAGGAGTTATAAGATACAACTGAACACCAAGAAAGTTCTGAAATGTTCTGAAAACTAGTTTAATTGTCTGATCACAGCGGGGTGATTGCATGAAGAAAACACGGCACAGGCTTGCTTTTTAGGACACATTGTCTTTTTTTTTTATTATGGATTATTTTTTCTCTTTGAAGACATTTCATTAAATTTAATGTTCTTATGGTAATATTGAATGAGTAATTGTGACTCACTTGTTGAAGCCGGCATCCCAGGAGGGCCTGTCTCCCCCTTTTCTCCTTTTGGTCCCGTCTGACAGGTACCTTGGAGACAAAAAGCCAAACTTAACTTCATTTGACCTACTTGGGACTGATTTTTATGTAAAAAGCAGATATCGTAAGCTTTTTTATAATATATTTTTGGGGGTAAAGGCACGGTATGGCAAAACATTTGGATTAAAGTTGAACATTAAAGGTGATCCAACCTACCAGCTGCAATCGTTCCATCAGGATTCAGCTGAAATAAAGGAGCAAAGACATTAACAGATAGCCGAGCTTGGATCACAGTTAGTGGTCAGATTGCCTGTAAAAATGTCTGATACATTCCATTACCAGCTACACCCAATCTGTGAGGTTAATATTGTAATCAACATGCAATTTCAGACACACGCTGGATGTGATTTTAGTTCTACCTCATTTAGTCCTCGGCACTGAGCCTTCACCTTTCCAGACTGGACATGCAGCATGCAGGTGTATTTTGGAAGCACCTTTGAAAAGGTCTGAGTGATAAAAGGTCATCAGTGTTACAGAGAATAACATGCAGGTTATCTGTCCGCAGCGGGAGAAGCAGAGGGAGGTGTAAAAGGTAAAAAAGAAACGGGGAGTGAATAGAGTTTTTGTGTAGGAGAGAAGTCTGAATGGAACAGTGATGTGAATTTCTATACTTCAGGCTACATAAAGAAGTCGTGAGCAGGCAACGGAGGTTCGATGAGGATTAACGCTTGAGAGGTGACTCGACAAACACTCTATAGATAATTGGTTCATCTGGATTTGTTTCTTCTTACAGCCGGTGTCAGAGAAAATTTAAGCTGCAGCAAAGCGTAACTTCCAATGTGCCCAATCGTCTCAACAAAGAAGCATCACCGAAAAGGTTATATTTACAAATTAAGAGGAAATCATTACAATTAACCTTAAAGTTCTCCAACACGGGCTGCAACTACTACTAAAACGTGCTTTAGTGGCATAGATTTGTACGGTCAGAAACCTACGGCCATTTTGCAGTGGGGTCTGGGAGGGATTGGGAACACCGTCTTCAGAAACCAGGAGAGGAGACACGAAAGTAAGAAAATAAAACACATAATATAGCTGACAACAGAGAGGAACTGTGTGATAATGAATGTGTGTGTTTACCCCTTTGGGGCAGTTGAATATCCCTGGGCGTCCTGGCAGTCCGGGAGGGCCGGGAGGTCCCTGAGAAGAGTAGAAGAAGTCAAGAAAACTGAAAATCTGGACATTTATGACAAAAGTATACAGTAACTAAATGGTGGTGGTGGTGGTGGGGGTTGTAGTTGAAGTAATATCATCTAATCAGCAAAAATAAAACATAGGACTCTGTATGTTTCATTTGCAGAATATCAACGCATCTAGTTTGCTTTATTTCAGATATAAAAACTGCATGTGACTCACCGGCAGTCCTGGAGAATCCCCCGTCTCTCCTTTAGGTCCCATCAGACCTGGACGACCCTGCGCACACGGAGAGACATTATCCAAATGCATTTACGTTTTAATGCGAGAAGTTAGATTGCTTTTAACTTTAACAATTCCTACAGGGGAATTTGGGAAATTGGATCGTTTGCAGAATGGCTTAATCTGTGATTTAATTTAACATACAAGCTAGCAAACGGCAGATTAACTCAACTCAGAACTTTTGTTGAGAGGTTTTTTGTCACAGTAGACAATCAATAAAAAGACAAAAGTATTTGTACACGTATCTGCATTTTGAACCTGAATCTTCAGATTAAAAAAATAAAAATACAAATGCTATTTAGTGTTCTTATTTCTATCTGTAAATGTTGGGTGATGTCATGATTCTTACTGGTCTTCCAGGGAAACCGAATTCTCCCTTGGGTCCTGGTGGTCCCACTGGTCCCTGAAGGAAATGAAGACGAGTGACTGAATGGATTTCCTAAATGCATGTTTCATCCATGGCAGTAAAACTGAATTTGATGGCGTTAAAATGTTGATATTTGGGTTTTTTTTTGCTCACTGTCAACACTTACTGGCATTCCAGGGGGTCCAGATACACCGTTATCTCCCTGAAAACAAAGATACATTTATATGAACTGTTAAATACCAATAATTATATTGCACGCAATAATTAGAGAAGTGGTTAACAAATGAATGTGGTTCTCGAAGGTGAAAACAATGACAGAACATGTGACCTTCACTCCCTTGGGTCCCACTGGCCCGGCCAGGCCCGACATCATGGATCCATCTGCTGCAATGATGAACCCTGGCTCACCCTTTTGACCCTGCATGCACACACACATGTAAACAAACCATATGTAGACAGAGGAACGCAGAATGCATATACACAAACATTAACTTCTATCACTGTGTGTATACAGGAAAATGTTTGTGCTGCCTGTTCAACCTGTTTAGAAACCAGTGTGTGCATCCTACTTACTTTCAGTCCTGGAGATCCTTGCAAACCTGGCAACCCAATGTCACCCTTTGGACCCTGTGGTGCCTGCAAGGAAAACAAACAGGAGGATAAGACCGTATCTAAATGCGCTGTCATAACAGGAATTATAGTTGTGTCAATCCTAGCGTCACATCTGTGTTTGTGTACTCACACAGATGGGTGACAAATTAAAGGAAAGTTCTGGATAAACGAGGAACACAATGAATGCAGATGCTCGCTCCCAGTTGCGCTGCATTGTGCTGTTGAGTAATTAGGATTAAATCACGCTCTGCGACGTGGATGAAAATGCTGAGCAGGCCCCATTTGATTTTGATTTTGTGTCAAGATGGCAAGAGGAAATGATCTAAGTGACTTTGAAAGAGGGTTCATTGTTGGGGCACAGATGGCGTTCACAAAGATTAGCTAGTATTTCAATAGGAACAGTGACTAAAGTGGCATCTGCATTGAGATCTATGGGAAAGACATCAGTAAATAGGCTGGACAGTGCACATTCGACGCTCCTGCATTTGTGTGATGTGTAAAGAGAAATGGAAGAGTTTCTCGTCCTCAGGTGACTGAGAATGTCAATGCAGGACATGATCTGACTGTGTCAGCAGGAATAGTCTGTCGACAATTACACAGAGAGCAATATTATAGTAGGGTTGCAGGGCATAACCTCATTACAGAGATGAATGCACATTCTGAGAGTTCAGTGGTACAAAAGCCACAGGAGCTGGTCTACAGAGATGTGGAGGGAAAAGGGATATGGTCAGATGAGTCATCTTTCTCTATATTCCCCGCAAGCGGGCGAGTTCATGTACACCAACAGAACAGTACGAGTCTGAATGTTTGACCCCTACAGTGATGAGATCTGGTGACTGTTATGCTGTGAGGGCATTTTGACAGCATGGTTTGTGTTCTCTTAAAGAAAAGGGTCACTGCAAATCAATACCAAGTTATTCTGAAGGATGTTCTTCATCTTATGATGAAACATTTCGGTCCTGATGGGAGTGCTCTCTTCCAGGACGTCAAAGCTCCTCATCAGCAGGGCAAGAAGGGTCACTGAATGGTTCGTTAAGTATGAAAATTATGTAAATCAAAATAATGTGATCTCAACCCAACTGAACATCTAGAGGGAATGTTGGACTGATGTGTTAGACAGCACCATCAAAACAACAAATGAGGGAATATCTTTAGGAAGAAGGCCGTTTCATCCGTCCAGTAGAGCTCCAGAGACTTAGAGAATCAATACCAAGGAGCACTGAAGCTGTTCTGGTAGGACATGGTGACCCAACACCTTACTAAGAGACTTTATGATGGTTTTTCCTTTGATTTGTCACCAATCTTGAAGCTTATAGGGAATCCAGATGTTTTGGATTGTTGGGTGTTTCTGTTTCTGCCTTTGTGAAGCGCTATGAGATGACTTGTTGTTGTAAATATGCGCTATACAAATAAAATTGAATTGATCTGAATTGAATTGAATTGAATTGAATTGAATTGAATCTGTGTAACTGGAACACAGGATGGCCATACTCTAAAAGCTTAAACAAACAACTGCTATCAAACTGTATTGTTTTTGTTGTTACAATGATTATTTTTCTGTGTGACACTCACAGCAGGTCCCTGAGCATCAAAAATCCCTGAGAGGTTGAAGGCACCATCTGTATCATTAAGCAGAAGCTGAAGAGGCAGAAAGAGAGCTTTGTTAATAGAAACATTCAGACATCTGAACAACTCTGGATACAGAGCACTGCACATGAAGGTAAACATTGAACACACATGCTCAACAAGTTGGCTTGGACACTGGAATCTCAATTTCTGCCAAAGAAAGTCTTGGATGAGCTGTGACCAGATGCTACTTACTTCCTGAAGGTTCATAATGGGTCCTGGTGGTCCAGGTGGCCCTGGAGGGCCAGGTAGGCTGAGTCCATCTCGTCCTGCCTCTCCCTGAAAAACACAGCTGACATGTTAGCCTTTCCATAAACAGGAACACGTATTTATTTTTCCACTCGTTCATGTCTTCACCTTTTGTCCTGGATCACCTTTGTCCCCCTTTGGTCCCTGTAGATGCAGACACAAGATTAAAAAAATGAAAAGTGTTTTTCAACAACAACACATTAGCAGATTGTTTCACAGAAATGTCATCCATCAACAGCATTTATTCAGTTAAATGCCCTTTAAAAACACATTTCAAGTTAAAATTAGTCAGAATCCATTAAAATACTGACCTCTTCCCCTGTCAGTCCATCCAAACCTGGAAACCCTGGTTGTCCTGTAACACCTGGCTCCCCCTAAAGAAACCATGAAAACATTTTATCAGTATGCATTGCCGATACAACACACTGGTGTGTTTTTTAAAGGTAAAATGAATAACTCTGTGCAATAATCCAAATTGAATCATTGCCTTATATGCCAACCAGTGGGGTTGCAGCTTATCTCAGTTATTGTCCTCGTATCATATATGCAGTGAAAACTTTGCAGGAATTTAACAGGTGGGCATTCAAGAGTAGTGTCATTACATCAGTATCCTTCCAAATGTGCAATATGTTCACAATCTTCTCTCCTGTATCCGATTTATGTCTGAATAATGGCCTCAAAAGTGTGTTTGCAGAACATTATGATGCCACTGTGAAGTTGACTTTTAACCTTTTGGATATAAAATGTCATCACTTTTATCCAATTAGACATTTGTGTGAAATTTTGTCAGAACTAATGTATGAATCCTTGAGTTCTGGTTAAAAACTTGTTTTGTGAGGACCTTTGATCACATTCCAGGAGCCTAAATGCTTTAAAGTTGCTGTTTAAACAATTAGAAAACAATAATGTAAGTTCATGGTAAAACAATAATAAATTGCATTGATTTAAGAGGATTAAAAGCAGCATTTACAGTATGCACAGGTGGATGCATTCATATTTAACTTTAATGGTGATACAGTAAGTGAGTAGTTTCATATCTTGCACCTTAAGCTTGCAGAGAATTTTAAGAAGTTTAACAATTTCATTTAGACAATTTTGTAATATGTGGGAGTTGGCTGTGATAACTACAGTATTTTAACTGTTGTTGTTCTAAGTTTCTCTTATTTAGGTAAATTTGAAAAAAGTACCATGATTTTTGAACAAGACATTTATGTTGTCCCCGAACCCAAGTAAAACATTCAGCTTTACCAAGTGGCCCATATGAATTACCAAGACAGGAATTCTGAGAACTTGTATTTACAATATGAGTCATGGCCGAGTAGAATTACCACCTAGCTGGTGTCTGCCTCCATCAGCTAGTAAAGCTGTAGTATACGTCCATCACTCTTTCTGTTCTTGCGAAATAGTGTCAAAAAATAGACAGAAACAGTGTTTATTTGACATTTGTTGGATATTTTGTCCAAATTAGCACATAAATTCTTAAGTTGCCTGGAAGCACAGTGACCTCTGACCACCAAAATCTGATCAGTTCATCGTTGAGTCCGACTAAACGCTCATGCCAAATTTAAAGAAATTACTACGAGGCGGTCAAGAGAAACCATGTACACTTGCTGCACTTCTATGGATCCTAATGGATCTGGGAACACTGGGACATCAGGTCACACTCAGTGAGAACCACAACAAGCCTGTGAACCTTCAGGAGGACCGAATGTGTTCTCTCTAAAACACCATGCTGCCAACAGCTCATATCTCTCACCACCACGAGGCCCTTCACTTAACAGCCATTTACTGACCTAAAGGGTGTAGACTTTGTAGTAGCTTGTCTGATTTGTGCTCAGATATCTTTAACCTCTAAGGAAGCACAACAGAAAGACAGCTGAGATAACAGCAGACTCACCTTTTGCCCTGGCCTTCCCGGGAAGCCGACTGAACCGTCTTTACCCTGTGTGAGGCATAAAGGGGAACAAATTAAAGATAAAGAACATGTATTATTAAATCTTCGTAAACTTGCGATGGAAATGAATGTCCTCTTGTCAACAAGGTGTATATTACTGCTCAGAGAGCTCCTCTAATGCCCAACCAAGGTTACTCTGAAGGTACAACACAGGAGCCCGGAGTCTCCACATATCTCCATGGCTGTCTGCAGCTGATGAGGAACAATTGTTTACTTCTAAGTGGCCTGTGTGCAGCCTTTGGAAACACTGTTCTGACAACTTATCTTGTATACGGCTGTCGATGGAATCAGAGTGACCCTTTGGCCTTCTGTCCAGAGCAGCGGTAGAAGAAATTCCCTCACAGTCGCTAACTTTATATTGGAAAACAGCCTGTTAGCAACAGTCCAAAGGCCTCAAACTAAAGTTTTTAACAATCTCACTGCCTTGTAGGAGGGTTAGGAAAACAAGAGTACCCACTGAAAACATATGCTCACATAGACATACACACAAATATCTCACCTTGGGACCAGGGATTCCTGGAGGACCCTGTTAAAACCAAACAGAATATATCTCAGGTGACAATAGTAGCTGTTTCTGACATGATAAAATTATATGATGATTACATGACACACTATTATTGTATCACTCATGTACCTGTGGACCTCTGGAGAGTCCAGCTCCAAAATCTGTCAGCAACCCAGATCCTTCAAGGTCCTTAAAAAAACGATGTATGTACTGATTAAACACCAACATGAATAAGCCTTTCTATAAAACCATCACACCTTATACAGCTAATGATGCATTTCCAATTAAAAAAACTCCTAGTTTCAGATTTGTGTACCATAATTAATCACCGAACTGTTACATACACACTGTAGCCTGGGTGGGTCATTTAAGTGCACTGATTCTGTGTTTACAAGCAGATCTATGGCTGGATATTATGTAGATATTATACTAAAATCTGTCACTGTGCTCTATTCCTTTACAACGAGTGCTACTGATGTTAGCTAAATTAGCATTTTACTATTTTCTCATACTATTTCCATGATAACAAATACACAAATTCATCATGAACACACACACTATACCTCAAAGTCCAGGGAGTAGCTCCTTCCTGGAGGTCCCGGGGGCCCGGGAAGACCAGGTGGACCCCTGGGACCAGGCTGCCCTTCTGGTCCGTCTGACCCTGGTATGCCTGGGAACCCTGGCGGGCCCTGATCTCCCTGAGAGACAGCGAATATTAATTAATCATATTCTAAACTGTATATATTCCAACTACAAGAGTAGGAACCTCTGTGAAAGAAATTTAATGCACATGAAACAATGGGTACAAGGCCGGTATGAAAGGCCAGCATAATTACAATCGCTAATATCAATAATGGTGGTTCATTATCCAGTCAAGTGTGGCTTACCGTTGGTCCTGGCTGCCCACTCACTCCAGGCTCTCCCTATTAACAAACAAATAAAATATAATAAAATCACATTAGCTACGGTGTTGACTAGAGACACACCGCTGTTTCTGGTCTGCATGAAAAGGCAGAGCGGCTTTTGCAGCACAGACTTGTTTACACTCCGGCCCCTTGGCTTTATTAGTCCATGGGGTCACCTCATTAAGAACTTGGCCCCTTTGTGATAGCGGTCTGTTCGCAAAAACAATTACGCACAGACTAAATAACCACCTAAGAGGCCTGCTCAAGGGAAATCAGAGGGGGGTTCACACAAAAAAAGCTGCGAAATCACACAAGCGAGAGCCAGATCAAAGCCGGTGTGCTGTGCATTCACACATGAGGGTTTTTTAAAATGTACTGGGTAGGCCGGTGCACGAATTCAATGTTTCTTAAAGCCAGCTTGGTGCCTTGGATTTCTTTGTCCAGGATAAAAATACAACGAGGTGATCATTAGCCTCACCTTGTCTCCTTTCTCCCCAGCTGGCCCAGGATCGCCGTCTTTTCCATCGACTCCCTGCGAAAACCACATTTATATTCAAACTTTATGCGCACGTATGTATTCACCGGATACTTAGGCAGCAGGGAGACAACGCAGTTCGAAATGGCTTGCATAATTGCTGCTCCGATTCCTATTTTTGAACCAAAGTGGGTGCCAGGTGCAAGCTCGTAAAGGTGAACGTATTAAACAAAGCTAATGAGGTGCCAAAACCTGAAGTGAATAAATCTTTCATGAGCAAAATCAGTGCAGCAGTAAACACTGTACACCGGTGAGTAGTCCATTCACGCAGTTAGTAAAAGCTTCTAAAATTCAGAAGAGAAAAGACACATTAGCCCCAACAGACGCTACAGCTGCAACCATATTCAAGCTGTTGTTGTTCATTACTTTTGTTCCTGCCAAAACGCTGTTTGTGTGAGGATAATGGAAAAAGGACATGACCTGTCTGAACTTCGGTAGGTGGCTGCTTATACTTAGAAAATGAGCCTGTGCTGAAGTGGCAAATGAGTTAGGAACGAGCAAAAAGACACATATTTTTTGTACCACACACTTCAGCAAGCAATGGCAGGAAAGCAGTAAATGAACACCGGAGTTTTTTAAATAGAGTTGGGGCGGAAATACTGTCTTTTCAGTCCCTTGTGTTTGGGACCAGATGTTAATACCTGACCAGACCCTGACCCAGAACCAGACCCAGAGCCACTAAACCACTCGTCAATCACCTGAAAACAGAAGCTAGGTCAGCAATGTGGGTGTTGTCAGGAGAATAAAGGCCAAAATTAAGTGAGTGAACTTTAAAGATCAACTTCAAGAGCTGTTGAAAGAAATCTTGGCTCGCTTGTTTATTTTAAAAAGCAGAATTTATCTCCTGCAAATTTGTTGTGACCTTTTGGCCAGAACATTTTCAGTCTAAATCTTCTGCTTTTACTTCAGTAAAAGCAACAAATAAGGCAGTTTTTTATACACAAGCGACTATGAAATCGTATCATTATCACGTTTTCAGAGTCTAAATGAAGGATAAACTCACAGGAAGTCCAGGTTCACCCTTCTCTCCATCCTTTCCATCTTTCCCAGGAGCCCCAGGTCGGCCGGGGAGGATGTCCCCAGATGGGGTTCCTGGGGGCCCTGGCTGTCCTGGTGGGCCTGGAGGTCCTGGAGGCCCCTGATGAAACACCATAACACAACAAGTTTACACCTCATGAAGGAGAAATGATGTAGGAATGTATTTTGCATGTACTCATTTAGCTGAGAATCACCTATTAACATGGAGCCTATGGTGTCAGAATACAGATAGAAACTTCACTTACTCTTATAATTTCTGCATCACTGTCAAAGTCGTCAAATCCAGACCCCTCCTGAGGAACACAAACCATGCGATTGGTCCAATTAGCAGATAAACACGTCGCACTGCTAGAATTGAAGGGTTTCGAGTCATAAATGCTTCACATTCTGTCCTGGTAATTATTTCAAGCATGAAAAATGAAAATGCAATCATCAAGACATTCATCAGTCGTTTCACACAATGAATATTTCATTTAGCTCCATTTTTTTGTCTCCTGTATGTATGTTGTTAGTGCATTAAAATGCCAGCGAACACAAAGAACAGGATGGATGCATCACAGTACAAGTGTCGGAGAAGTTAAGTACCTTGTAATTGTAACCTCACAGAAACTGAATAGTGTTAAATGACGAATACATTTAAATGTGTTCAGCTATTTGCCTCAAGTAGAATTTAAAGTCCGTCTCTGGTAATTGATTTAACCCTTAAAAATGAATCTCAGCGTATCAAAATCATCCCTCCCAGCCTTAAAAGGTCTTAGATTTAGCTCTAGACTCCTCTAGAATAAGTGGATCTACACAGTTCCTGCCTTTCTCTGCTCACTCCTCCCCAATCACCACAGCTCGAGCACACCAGCTCACCTACATATAACCATGCAAGTTCAATGTGCAAACTGATCCCTAAGAAGAACAATGATACAGAGAGTTCCAAACTGGCAGGCTGGGACTCTCTGTGGTTCCTTAGGTTTGCTACCAACAAGTCAACAAACCAACTCAGCAATTATAAACAGTACCGTCATCGTGATAAATGCACATTGAGAAAGATGCACTAAAGTTCTAACAATGAAAAAAACACAACAGCTTTTTTACCTAACTAGCACAGACAGAACCAGATTTTGCTAAGACCAAGAGACGGTCAAAAATGTCACTCAACAACCCACCATGAACATGGAAGACTTGCTAGGCCGACCTGGAAGTCCAGGAGGGCCTGGAGGACCGGGTAGTCCAACCCCAGGATCACCCTGAAAGACACAACAGCAGGAATGTTTATGTGTTTATTTGAACATTTTATTTAATCCTCTGAACTCCAAACAGTGTCTGAGTGTTTTGGCTCCTGTCACATTTTCACTCACTGTGGGCTCATTTTACACAACAACATAAAGTCCTGCACCTCTACAGAAACAGCACAACCGTAGCTGGAAGTAGAAGGAACTTAAAGAATGTCTTATGTGTAGGTATTCAACAAACCTTGAATCAACACGTACAGCATTTTGAGTGTGCCCATAGGTGCTAGCAGCACTGAAAAAATGGTGTCTCTACATACTACAGACATTTAACTACTTCCATTTTTTATTTGGTTCCATACTTGTAAACACTACCTGCAGTTCAGCCGAAGAGACACAAAAAATCTTTGTCACGTGGCTTTTGGTTGCAGGTGAGTCACTAATGGCTTGAAGATTGTGCCAGGTAACATATTTTATTGTTTTACACAAAATGTAGATACTGCAAACAATTTATTTTGCCATTAAAAAAAAAAAGAGATATGCAGAATAACACAGTTCTGATGAACTATCCAGATTTTAAGCAGACACCTGATGTAGTTTTTTGACAAAATAGCACGCCAGTGTGTAGTTCAAAGAATGTTGGACAGTTAAAAATCTGATTCTTTCTGTTTTTACAGTTCCCAACTCTTATAAATGATGTCATTTTGGTAAATATATTAAAGCTATTGTGCTTTTCATTGTCCTTTGGGTTTTGGGGTTCAGAGGGTTAAACAGTGGCTCCTTTTATAGACCCATGAAAATGTATCCGTAAGTATCCTGGGTATTTTTATTTATTGAAAGATGGGGTTTGTTTACCTTGTCTCCCTTAGGACCAGGCTCTCCATGTAGTCCTGGGAATCCACTCGGCCCCTGGGAAAAAGACAGTCACAGCTCTGCTGAGTGCCACGTCAGATAAGAGATGCAACACACTAACACAGAGAGTGATATGAGGCCAAGACTGCAAAACATTTGGGAGGAACATTTAGTATCAGCGTTTAAGCAAAGTGTAGCTCTCTAACTGTGCACCTGTATGTTGTAAATTGCTACATTAGCGCATCAGTTTCCCCCAGAAACACTAAAGGAAACGACTCCCACAAGACAGAAGAAGAAAGCACCTATAAATCTACAAGGTTAGGAAGATTTTACTTACAGGGGAACCAGCTTCACCTTTGCTTCCCTAGAGAGCAGACAAAAATAGAAAACCAATCCATCATTTTATAATCCGACCTGTAAGTCTGACGTAAACAGCAGAAAGCTGAGGCAGTGCTCTGAACAGCTCGTGTCATGTTCCATAAATAGGAACCTACATTGTTTTAAAAAACAGAAGATTTAAGAGCAAACAAACAAGCAGATTAAACTCACTGGGTGTCCGTCTTTTCCAGGAAGTCCAGGCGGGCCTGAGGGCCCCTGTGGTCCCTGTGGTCCCCGTGGTCCAGGCTCTCCTCCGTCTCCATCTCCTGAGGCTGATCCTGGAGGGCCAGGGGGTCCTGGGGGACCAGCTGGACCTGGCTCCCCTCGCTCCCCTTTCTGTCCTGGAGACACCTGGAGGGACTGGATGTTAAAAGACTCCCATTAATTAATTCCTAGAGTCTCTGCTGGGCATCAAACAGACTCCAGCGCGTTTACCTCCAAACGAGCCAAAGAGCTGCATGAAGCCGGTCAACAAACAAAACTTGACTTTTTGAGATCACTTTATGAGCATAATGTTGGTGGATGCAGCTTTCTTTATGAAAAGCAACAACACCACGAAACCAGAATTTCAAGTGGGGCAGAGCCTCGGCTGCAGTAATTGGAACACACTCGCACTGCAGGATTCTGGCTGCAGGGTATTTATTTTTTTTTACAGTAAAGCAATTGTTAATTTATCTTGGACATTGCTGAACCACCACACAGAAACACAGCATGTATTATTGAAAATCCTCGATATATGCCGTCTAAAGATTGAAGAAAATCCTCATACTCACAGTTTGAGGCGTGGAAGCCGGAGTAGCTGCAGTCGGTAATGATTTTACTATGATGAAGACACAAACGGAGCACGTTAAAAAAATGCCAGCTCAGGTTTGAGTAGAAGAATATTTCACTTTATATGCATGATTTGTGCAGAATGTTCAACTATATGACATATAATTGGACAGGAAACATTAATTTAGGGCCGCTCGGAGGACAGGAAAGAGAACATAGAGAGGAAGAAGTGGCTTCAATGTCTCTTTATCACCATCTGCTGGCAGAATTTGGGAACGCAAGAGCCTTGGTCATGAATTACAACATCACATCCATGTCAGCATTTAAATATAAATGCTAGTGTGCAAATAATAATTAATAAAGAGAAAAACACAAATCACTGCTGTCTGTTACCACCAAGATTCTTAAAGTAATACATAAATAAGGTTTATGTGCTTCACCTCTTATTGTGCTGATCTCCGCCCCCTGTCCAGAAGTCTCCTCAATGTCTTCATCCTCATCATCGATGAGTGATATGTCCGTGGGCGGAGCTCGGACCGGGGAGCTGTAGGTGGGGTCCAGCTCTGGAAGGGGCTGCAAAACAAAAGACAAAAGAAGATGGATACCTTGTTTTTTGGTACCTTTTTTCTATCTCGTAGGAAAAACTGCAAAAATATTTTCTAATAATTTCCTGCTGAAGCTGAGAGGAGTATTTTGAATGAGTATTTTGTAGCTCAAGACTAAATTTAATATTGTGAATGAAGTGTAATAAATGTATGAAAATATATTTCGCGCTAATCTGCTTAGTTTAAATTCATTTTAACTAAAATATTTCGCAACCATGAAATTACAGAAAACTAAAAGCCGCTGTATTTTCCTTCTTATTTCTGTAGTTTTTGGTTTTCATTAGCAGCAATTTTCTGTTATAATTCGATAACAGTTGCTGGGTATTAAAAAAAAAAAAGAAAGCGAGCGCAGTGCTTGTCGCAGATGGTAGGAAATGTTTCCTCTCAGACCAGATCCAACGACAGCGTCAGACTGAAAGCAACATTCCTCACATTATTTCTGCGAGATGATAAAATGTCTTGACCTCATACCTCAGAAAAGATCCTGTTTATGAATGATGTGTGGAAATGAAACAGCAGTAAATCTCTTTCCTTTCTTTCTTTCCTAAAGAGCGTTGGATTTGAATCTATCTTTTGACAGTCCTTATGTGGCAGAGGGAGAAATCTTCCAGACTGGCTGGATCAGTGCTGTCACACATCTGGAAAACTCATTCAAACACACGACAGAGCCGAGACTTGGTGAGGTAACTTAAGGTAGCGTTGGTGGAGTCATATTTATAGCAGCGTGGAGTTGAGGGTGAAAACCTGGGTAAATGAAGCAAATCTGTCTCCTCTCTACTAGTAGATAGTTTCTATTAATATGGCCTTAAGTGAAGCATTGAAATCTCCGGCGGCTCCAGCGGCTGAGATTATGTTGGTAAGCTCCCTGCTGTAAATGTGTGATAGTAAAGTTTCCCTGAATAAAAAGGAAAAAAAACTTGTGTTAAAAGTTGTAAACTGGTGCATGGAATTACACACAGCTTTACACCAAACTGCAGGAATGCGAGTGGAAACTAAGTGCAATCTTCAACAAGCAATCTTGTTACTGCAAAGGAATAATTTGCCTCAATACTTTGAGTTTGAAATCATTTCCCAAAGTGAAGCAGTCAGAATGAAGCTCTTTTCAGATGTGGGATCACTTTGTTAAAGTAGCAGCATTCTGTCATTCAGACGTATATGGTTTTAACAGCTTCACTCACATGTAGCTACAACAGCCACAGAGAAAGCCTTCGTATGCACATATTTGTCATGCAAGATGCTCATCAAGTAATGTATAATGCATAATAATGCACTAATACACTAATGACCTAATTTATTTATGGTTTCCTTGACACTGAAAATTCTGTCCGTGTGTGATTATGATTACAGTCTACGTCACAAACAGTGAAATAAAACATCCTGAGGACTCAACCTGAGGATCACCGCTATGTATAAAACGATTTACCTGCAGCTGATAAACTTTCTTGCTTTGCAGATGCTCATATGGTTGTCTGATGCTGCATTAATTTAATAAACTCAGAGGAAATAGTCCTAAACAGCTGAAAGCAACAAACTAAACTCCTGTTAACCTGGTTATCAGTAACTCTCATGAATATTTTTTTGGACCTTGTAGTTTGTAATAGAGATGAAATTGTACAGCAAAGTGAATATGAAAGGTGTTTTGTTTTAGTCAAAGTGCTGTTGCTTTTGTTTTCTATTTAAGCAACTGCACACAGTTCAGGTTTGTGCAGTGTTGAAAGAGATGTGAAAATGTTAGTAATGGTTTTGCAGTGACTTTTAAGTAAAAAGCAAGCTGGGTGTTCATAAAGCTGACATGTTCACATTCTGTCATATGAACAGACAAGGCTGAATGTCTGCAAAGGGCTTAAAAGATAATAAAGTGGATTCAGTTTGTGGTTACTTGCTGTTAAGACAGTCAGCTTTAGTCTTCACAGGTTGGTCGGTTTCTTGGGATTAAAGCGACTTTCGCGGATTCACTTCATCGCTGAGAGACAGAGGAGACCGTTGCATGATGCTCCAACCAGGGTATAATTAGCTTAGCCAAAGACTAGAAATAGAGGGAAGCTGCGAGCCTGCGTCTGTCCTGAGTTCAAAATACACCCACCAACACCTCTAAAGCTCACTAACTTACACGTTACATCTTGCGTTTCCATCTGCGCAAAACAAATTGTGAACCGTCGTCCCTGCTGTCAGCCTTCAAGTTTGGACCGAACCAGTTTTCTTCTGCTCAGCTGTGTTTACTGGTTTTCACAGTTCTCATCTAATTCTGACAAATTTAACCAAACTCTGGAGACATTTCTTTAAGTAAAATACACTGGTAGTCTTTCCGCCCCTGCCTCTGCACAATGGTGCCCTGTTGTATTTTTTAAAATTCATTCAAGAGAGCAGAGAGTTGGCAGGGAGCAGAACATATCACCATGTTCTAGTCTCCGGCAGGCCTGAGAGGATAAGAGCTGTTTTCTCTGGTTGAAGTCCAGCTCAGCTAAACGAGGAAACCAGAAGGACGGTGTGGTGTGTTCTTGTGTGTATATGTACACACCATGGTGTACTCGCGCTCCTCGACAATCTTCTTCACTTCATCTATTCCCTCGATGTCCTCATAAGCATCATCGCCGCTCCCGTATCCGGAGGCCTGGAGTGAAAATGAGAGCAGGAGGAAAGATATTAGAAGATAAAGACAGAAAAGATTAGCAGACAAATGCCATCTGAGTTCAAGTTTTGGGATGAGAGAATTAAACGAGGAGGATAAAAAAAAAAAAAAGGACTTTGATAGTCAGAGTTTGGTTCCCACCGTTTCGGTCATGACACCCGTTCTATAATCTGTAGCTTATCTTTAGAAAAACACTGGATATCAGGAATGATTAATGTTCTAAACGATATAATCTTTTCAGGATATCTAAACATTAAACTGCTGACTGGTAGAGACTGGAAGAGAAAATGCAAACCGATTTAAGATGTATATCTGTGTTTAAAAAGAAGAAGAAACAACATTTGATGATTTAGAGATGTTTCTGAGTCTACTTTGTTTAAAAAGCAGCACTCGTACATGTTTTACTGATGAAAGTAAGATAAATTAGTGTATTAGCTCTCTGAGATTCAGAGGATTTCCACTTTGGGAAATGTGGATGAAATTATTGTGAAGTTTAAGCTCTATACAGTATTTATAGTTGCAAAATGTGGTGTAAAAGCAGTATTCTGCACACGGACACCTTCAAAATTTTGAATTAAACGACTGTTTTTATTACCGATTAATGGGCCAGTTACTTGTTTGATAAACGGATTTATAGTTTTCCCTTCTGAATATCACAGAGGCTAATGTGATTTGTTTGAAATTAGGTTCTTTGTTGAACCAACAGAGAAACACCTCATATTAAAAAAGGTGGATCCAGATCATTTTAAGCATTTTTGCTTAAAAATGTAACAATCATTTGATGACTCATTTTATTTTAATGTATAAATGAATTAACTAATTGTTTTAGATCGATGAAAACCACAAGTATTATTCTATTGCAATCACAACCTCCACTTTACCTAGAAAGGTTTTGCCCAAGATTTAGGAACCTGGCTGTGGTGGTTTAACCAGTGAAGTCCAACATGACTCTGGAAATTGCAGCAAATGCTAATTTCAAAGATTCAGGATGGAGTTTGACAAAAAAAAACTACTTTGCAGCACTATACTGCAGCAACAGGGGAGCTAACAGCCCTTATTTATGCACACTTTGTTGCTATAATTTCCTGTAGTGCCCCTTTACCACCAGCAGAGGGAGTAGTAGCTCCAGGTTTGCAGAGTGTTAAGCTAAGCACCTTCTTTTAGGCTGTTTTAGAGTTTCTGGGTGTGTTTTCATGCAGACTCACATAAGGATCATCCTCCTCACACTGGTCATCTGGGGCCGTGGGATCTGACTTCAGCACCAGCTGCTGGATGGAGCCCTGGAGAGAGCGAGGAGTGGAGGAAGAGGAGCGTCTGTGTTATACTGCGTGATAATTTAGTTCATTCTGTGTCAATTAAATTTTATTGAAGCTTAGCGGACATTTCCCACACACCAGCGTGGCCGCTGTCTTTCTGCATAACAGTTTGTCTACGTCTCCCTCCCTCATTACGACGCACATGATTTAGCAAATACACACAGAAAGTCGCACACATTGACACGCACACTCGACACATTCACACACTGCTGCAAACATCTGGCTGGGTAACAGGTGTTTTTCAGTCTGTCCTCTAAAGACAAATTGCACATCAAGCCCACGTTTATAATGCGAATATTTACTGTACTGTACGGAATGAAGCCATTTTGGTGGACAAATTCTATTAGTTTTTTGAACCAAAATGTAAAATAACAACATTAAATGGTTCTATACTTTGGATTTACATGTAGTTTTAAGTCTTGTGATTGATTGGCAACCTGCCCAGGGTGTTCCATGTAGAGGATAGGCTCCATTCTCGACCTTCTATAGGATAAGCGGGTACAGCTATAGATATGTAATTTCAGCAAAGATTATGCTGTGCACAAGTAGTCACGAGTGTGTCGGAAAAATTGGTGTTACAAAAGATATATTGCAAACCCAAACTACAAACTACGAGTTTTCCCCTTTAGATGATCAACCAGCACGTAAACAAAGAGATCCTGCAGCGTTTGCTTCGCTCAGAGAAGAGGCAAGAGTTGTAGCAGGACAAGTTGTGGCTGCTTCACTTCTCACAATGCCCTGAGCATCCAACAGTTCCTGGCTGAGAAGAACATCGCTGTGCTGGAGCAGCCTCACTACCCACCCCACCTGGCTCTGTGGGATTGTTTCCTCTTCCCCAAGCTCAAGGGGGTCATCAAGAGGACCTGTTTTGAAGACATGGACGACATCAAGATGGCTGTGATGACGGAGGATCCCAGAAGAATCCTTCCAGGAGTGGCTGGGAAAGTGCATTAGACTCCAAGGGGATTACTTCAAAGGGGACAACTTGTAGCTTGTGTTTAAAATATATCTTTGGTGACACCAGTCCTGAAACTTTTCCGACACACCTCGTACTAACAAATGCTATCGGTTATTCTTGGGTGTTTAGGTCACTATACTAACTTCTCTCTCTTTCTACTTGCAACATCATCAAGTTAGTGGCACAAGAAAAGACCTGCAACACTGTTAACACTTATAAACATCAGGCCTTCATCTGATTGATTAGTGGATGTGCCCTTTAATAGAAGCTGCATTCGAGCTCATCTCAGACAACTGGCCATTACTATCATTTCACATGAATATTTCCCGAACCTGCGTTTTAAAAGGCCACATTATCTAGTTAAACGTACCCATTTTATTGGGTGTATGAGGCTAATAAAGCAGAATAGCTGAAGCTAGTTTTGGGGCTATGTTAATTGGGCTGTTTGCCAATTTTTTGCCCTCCAAACCTCCACGGGCCTGTAGAGCTGCAACCCTCCATACTTGTTTTATTGCCTCACATCGCATTGAGACTAAGAAGTTGTTCTATTAAAAAAGGAAATGTGACTTTCTGTTTGGCAAGAACGATTGATAACGCCCGTGTCTATTGTGATATCTGTGATATCTGGAAGAACAATGCCTGCCAACAGTCTGAAGGCATGCGTTTGTTTAATTATCTGTATGAACTGTCAAAGTTTTGCTGCAAATTCTGTCAGTTGATAAAGTGTGTCGTGTTTGCGGTTGTATGCCAATAAAACTAGGGAGGGGCTGTTAACTGGAAAAGTGTATTTTTCCAGTATTTGTGGGTGTATGAATGAGTGTATACACGCAAGTCACAGCGATTGATCCTTTCGAATTGAGAGTCAGTGTGTCAGTGACTCACTCAGTATTACATCAGTAAATACTTGCTAAAGGCAATTTCAGCCAATTTTATTGATACTGAGATGAGAACGGACGCCAACACCTGTTTTTGATAGAGTCAAGCGTGGCCTATGAAATGCAATGGTGATAAAGGAGTGAGAAACCGAGATGGAGGGGAGAACAGAGGAGAATCGAAGGACTGGGTGGATGTGAGTTGGGATCGCGAGCCAAATCAGAGACATCTGTTTGCGAAGTAAACAACACATCTGAAGCAAACAAAGAATGCGCCACGCAACCTTTTCCGCTTCTTTGAAACCACTTTAATACGTGAAATCCCCCTTAAGTTAAAGCCACGACCACGTGGATGAATGATTTGCTTGGTCAGTTTGTAAAACACTCTGATTAAACGAATGTAAACACTGGAAGGCGGCGGGAGGATCTGTCAGTGCCAGGTGGTTTGAGTGACACATCTGTGGGTTGCATGGTTGCACAAAAGCTTGGTAACACACACAGATGTGTTTCTAACGCACATGTGTGAATTACAACTTGCACACAGGCGTGCAATCAATAGGAGATCTTCTGGAGTTCTTGCAGTGAGTTAGAAATAGAAAGCCAGGTAGCTGCTTGCACTAGACAGCGTAATGATGTCGTTGGGGCAAAAACATGGTGGTACCATTGGAAATTGACTGGTATCTTAAGCAGAATGCTGGTACTAATGGTGCAAACCATTGGTGTCAGGCTCAGGACTTGTTTTTTTGGGTTAAGAGTACAATTTGTTCTAAGATGAGGTTAAGAGGGACGCCTGTTGGTGTGGCAGACGTGGAAAAGATGCTTAATAACTAGAACCTCTTGATAGTATACTTGGAGGTATGGAAGTTAACAACAAGGCTTCTTCATCTAAGTCCAAATATTCTCTGGTTAGCTTCTCAGTCTCTGGCTGATGTTGTATGACAGCTTGGATATGATTGAAGACTGTATATGTTTCCAGACTGGGTACTGTCCACAGACTGGTACCTGGCAGTTTTCAGACGTCGGAGAGAAAAAGGTTAAGCACTTCTCAGATACTGTTGACTGTCTGCAGAAGACTAGTGGTGCTGAAAAAGTTGTGCAACAAAGAGTCAGTGTAGCTGCCAAGTATGTGACAAAAAGCATTCTGAAGGTCACCACTACTGTATCCGTGGTCAACGCACATTTAAATAAATTGATTTCAGATACAATGTAAGGAGTCTATGAGGCATTGGTGTGCTGCTACACATACTAAGTAGCATCTTTTGGCTATAAGATGTCACCAATGTACCAGAACTTTACACATTAGAGTAAAAAAAGGTAAGAGTCCTTCATGTGAGCTTTTAAAGGACTTCAGTTCTGCTGTTTTAAAAGGTAAAGCCCACCATTTGGAAAGCAAATTTACCCTTGTAATTAAAAGGAAAAGTTGCTTTAAACTGTGGCAAGCCATGCTCCATAAAACACTCAACACATACATGCAGAGACATACTTGGCTAAGACTGTATTTTTTAAACACTGTGAGCAAGAAAACTCATTCAGTTGCTCAGGGAGATTCAGAAAAGTCCAAAAATGGTTCCCTCTTTCTGGGTCTGTCTCACAGAAACACTAACATCTACCCAACATGAGATGTGTTTCAGCACAACTAAGGAAAGCAAAAACATGAGTCAATGAGTCAGCGTGGGAGAAGATATTTCAGCATTTTTGTGTTCATGTGAGGCTTTTGAGAGATCGCACTGCTGCTGCATTGTGGCTGCTCTCCCTGGGAGAAACAGAAGGATCTCTGACAGAGCTGCCAGGTCAAACACTGAGCAGCTGGAAACAGACGGTCACTACTGATCCTCTTTGTCTGAGACAGAAGGGAAGAGGGAGGAGAGGGGAGGAGGACAGTATGAAGAGAGCAAAGAGAGTAGTGAAAGAGATGGAGCTTGTTGGCAAGAGATCGAGGAAAACTCAGAGGGCCTGTGGGTGATGTCACTTAGCTTGTTGAGGGCCACGGTGGAGGTTTAGAACTCCTGAGCAATAATATATGCTACATAGGCATTTCCTGTTGTTTTTATTGTATAGTCAGCAGTAAAAGGCATACAAACAAGGGAAGAGGGAGGGATGTAACACAGGACGAGGTCCAAGGCGCCTATCAAGCCAGTAATGCTGCAGTTATATGGCACTGCAAGTTACCAAGATGCTCCCATAATGCAATTTAAATGTCCTGTATCACGTACAATACTTGTTTCTCAACAGCTAGCAGTCCTAGTCTTGGTATCTAGATATTTTCATCTCTAACTCGTGCCTTATTTTTGAATATAAGGCTAAAAGCAGCTCCATAGTACTTATATTGAGAGGAACTCCACAAAAAAAAGGTCAAGGCAAGTGCTTTAAAGGTACTTTGTGCAACATTTAGCCACTGGATGTCGCCAGGGCACCAGCATCTCAGACCAAAACAAACGGGCTTGTCATGAGAGGCAACAAAAATGGACATAACGAATGCTAAACTGCACTTTTGCTTTTTCCATGTGGTGTGTTTATAAGCACACAACAGTTTCAAAGGGAAGGACTCACATGCACTAATGCGCACAAGCGGCTAGAAAAGCAGCCAAAACATAGAGCAGGGATGCTCGGATTACAACACAAAAAGAAGAAGTGTGACATTTTCTGATAAGGACGCCACTATTCAAATCTATCTTTACCTTGCAGATGGTTGTTTGCCAAGAAATTAATGCTATATTTAGATTTTAAATACTGCATACGGCACCTTTATGAGTTTTTTTTTACAGAGCGCTTCAGTGCTAATGAGCCTTCTTGCATGATTGTGACTGTGGGTGAATCAAATCATCTCAACAGCAGAGATGACACAATTCTCTACCATGAAACTGGAAAAATTCAGTTCATACTGCTGCTAAACTTGGAATACGTCAGCTGTCTTAGTGTTTTCTGCTGTAAGGACACACATATGAGGAGTCTAACCTATTTTGATTTTCTTAGTTTAACAGTTTTGTTAATACAAATGCACTTATTTCCTTTCTACCTGAGTTAGATAAAAACAAAAAACACTGCTCACATCAGGTTTGAAAACTATAAACCTGCAGCAACACATGCAATCAACTTACTGTAGTTCAGAATAACAATTAAAAGCAAGGGGAAACTGGTATTCCAGCTTTTTCCAAATGTAAAAAAGTCCCCCTGCTGTTTCCACACAGGTTTTATTACAGATAAATTGGTATTTTAGCAAAGATACTGCAGGAATATGTTCCATGAGGCTTTGGCTCAAGGCCAATGGCTACAACTTGCAGGATAAAATAATTTCATCTTCATTAAAAACTGAATTGCAAATAAATGGGGAAAACAAACAGTCTGTTGTTTTTTTATTATTATTGGTCCATCTCCTTGCTATTCCCTCTAAGCCACTAGAAAAATCAATAAAAGTTCTCTTCTGCTAAATAATAAAATGTAATGAGTCAACATATACTACCGTCTCAGAAAATGAAAACGTTACCGAAAATGAAGTTGTCATTTGTCCGCTATAAGGCGAACACACGATGTTTTTGTGCGTTTTAATGATGCTACAGCGAAGCTATTTTGGTCTAAAATGAAACTCGAGCCGTTCATGATACAAACACACACGTCAGAGTTGGTTTTAAAGTGCAGTACGCAGAAAAGCCTATTTGACAGATTGTTCCAGCAACAAAAAGGACTCCCATCTGAGACCATAAATTCCTGAATAAACACACGCTCTGCCTCGCTGGCTCATTGGATTGCTTTGAAACTCTCCTTAGATTTCTGTAATGAAATCTTAATGAGACTAAAAAAAAAAAAAAAGCTGCTTGTGATAACTTCTTTCCACTGTCCTGGAAATTAAGCATCATGTAGTTCGTCTGTCTTATGAACTTGCATAGCAACAAATCATAAGAAAAGGAAGAAAAGTAGCACAGAGGAGGCTGTTGTTTTTTTTTTTGTTGATAAAGTCACAGGTCGTGTAATTTTCTGGCTTCGCTATCGAGTTCATGTGTTCAGAAAAGGGATTGTTTTCATTTTTTCCAACATGAACTCAGGTCTTCTCTTATTAAAATGCAATATTCTGACTCGGTTTACTATAAACTCTCCTCTACTTTCCCCTACATATGGCGCACAGTTGAATGGTATTCCCTTTACGCTGAACTGTTCTCCTCTCATCATGCCTCCAGTTGCATTGGGACAAACAAAGCCTTCCACTGCAATCACAAAATAGCAAATCACAGATGATTGGGAGGAAAGTGCTGAAGCATTTACTGTTCTTTTTTTCTTCCCCCCTTTTACAAGAGCACTGTGAGCAGAAAGCAGCACTGCATATGTTATTATCTCTTCTCCTGGATCTGATTTCTCAGCACTTATGTATCACACACAATCACTACAAAGGCACACATATTTTTAACAGCTATTGTGAGGGGTTTGGAACCTCTACCCTTTGCATATTTACTATTGTTTGATTGGCCTTCTTCTGATTGAACAATTGGCAGTTGTGCTCACAGTTGCACTCAGTGTAAGCCATTCAAGATGAGAGACTGTCAACCATATTCCAGAAATGTAAATCACACAGAGTTTGTCATTTATGAGCTCTCAAAGGATAAGGCAGTGCTCATAAACACATGTGGTCATTCATTCCTTGTCTCCTGCGGCAGTCATAAAACTGCCAACAAAGACTATTGTGTTCATGTCTCAAATGTAAAGCAGGCAGCCGCCCAAACACCACGTTTGTCTCCGCAACTAGCCACGGACTGGGCATCCATTCTTAGCTCATTGATCCAAACCCACTGACACTGGGACACTGAGGGGTAAACTAACCAGAAATACAGCTGTCACATGGGGCTGACAAATAGAGAAGGAAAATACTGAGGTTTTCATGTGGTAAATAAAGTAGAATCAAGACTTACCACAAACCTCGGCAGGCCGGTACCCCCGGCGTTCCCTACAAAGATCCCTGAGCTGGCCTCGAAGGTCAGAGGCTGAGCGCTCCTGGTGAAGGCAACTCTGTGGTACTCCTCACAGTCCATGTAGAGACGCACCTACAGGCAGGAACGAGGGCACAAATACACATATTTAAGCTAAAAAATTATAAATAATGGACTACTTCTGCAAATAAAACATCTGTGGACAGATCTGTGTTTCCTGCAGAGTTACATATTTAAGGAGTTTGGTGTAATTTTATGACAAAATACAAACATAAAAAGTAAATGTGTGCAAAAGACAGACGTCACATTTAAACTATTTAATGACCCTGGATGAGGATTGTTTTAAAAAAAAAAGGTTGAAACCAACAATCTTCATAGTGAATGTCTGCTTTTATCTGCAAATCCAAAAAGTAATGTTAAAGGAATGTGGTGTCTTTCATCTCTAGTAGACGTGTTTGAAGCATCACATTAGAAAAAGTTCATAGAAGTGATGAAACTTGAAAGGAAAACGTCCCAAATTCTGCACAGAAATACAATGCTTGAGTTGATTCTTGACTTTTTTGTGAGAAAAAAGTTGATGCACTTCATGGGAGGTGGAAACACCTTTTCAAACATTTACCTCACATGACCAATCAGCTGTTTACATTTTCCTCCCATTGTTTTCTACTCCAGATAGCATGAAACATGCCCAATACCAGCTGCCATGAAAGAATAATTACAACTTTCCTGATTTCTTTTCCCTTCTTTTTTTTCTTTGTAGATGGCCACAACTTAGTTTGTTTCTCTTTTCTCGTGGTTTTTAGCCTGTAGAAAATAATTACATTTGTTTCAGGCTTCTTCTAGCCTTACAATCATGAAAAATGTAGCCTAGAGCGCCACCTTCGGACGACACTGTGCAACCTAGTTTGTGCACTCCAAAGCAGTCAGTGGCAACTCGCCTAAATTGCCTTTTTTTTCCTTTTTAAAAAAAATGTGCCTATTTTTATTGGGAGAAATTCCAAAAGTTTGCTTCAAATTCACTCGACAATTAAATGGAAACAGCTAATTTCATAAGTCCTGTGTAAACGCCAAAGCCTGCTCATGCCACAGACCTCCTTTGTTGCCCAGAAAACACATTGAGTCACATTGCTTACTGAGCAATTAGCATTTTTCTTTTAATACCATGAAAATGAGCACTGGAGTTCATCCAAGTTCATACAAGCGCATTCTCCTGCTGCAGTAAATACTGGGGCACCAGTTACAAACAGTCCCTCAAAACATGATAGCTTTTTCAGTAATTTATAGACAATTAAAGTATATTTGTGTCCTATTTATTAACCTAACATATGTCTACCAATTGAATCATGTATGATGGTATGAGGACCAAAGGGCAACATAAGTATCAGCGCAACATCCTCATTATCTCACAGCTTTAAATGCAGAATTGAAATCTGCAGATTTAGCAAAATTATTCTCATGACACTGATTGATCATGATTGTTGAAAAGGACATGTTACATCTTCACCCAGACAAACTCAACACACCAAACTCACCTCTGCACCCTGAACAGTCAGCGTAAACCTCGCCCATCTTCCCGTCAGGTCTCCCATTTTGAACGAAGCTGCCTCTTGGGTCCCACCTCTCGTTTCCGGGTCGGTGTAGTACAACACGACTCTCTGGGAGCCATCCTCCACTTCGGACAGCGCTATACCCAACTGTACAATCTAAGAAAACATACAAAAGATTTTTAAAAATTACTTTTCCTTACCTTTGGCAGAAAGGCTATGAGAGAAGTGTTAAATACATTCACACTGTCTCACTTTCTGATAAGCATCCGTGATGGCGAACAGCACACCGCCGCGCCGTGTGGTTGGTTTAGCCGTGACCGTGATGGCGAAGTCATGATAGAACGGGTCGGGGATGAACGACTTTGTGAGGCGGCCGACGTTGGCGTCCGGGCCGAAGCTGTAAGCAGGGTAACCTTCGAACCCCGTCACGAAGGAGACGGATGGAGGAAGGGGAACGCCGATCAACTCTGTCAGGTCCAAGGCTCCCTGAGAACCAGGGTCTGCACAAACCAAACACAGAGGTGGAAACCATGTCAGTGGAGGGGAAAAAGAAAACATATCTGTCATGTGAAAGTGAATCAGAGTTCATCATTGGCCTCCTGACACCTTTACCCAGTTAAAATAAATTGGCCTGAAAAATTCAAACAAAGAGTTACAAGAAAAGTGACTGCTGCCATGTGGACGCAACGTGGAGTCAAGGGTGAAATTTGTGCGGAAGTCGGGGTTTCATGCATTTGTTGTCGATTAGTACCACGAGTCTCCAATGTCAGTCACAGCAACTAGCGTAATAAGGATGTATGACAAATCCTGTTTGTCGGAGAGCACCTGTAGCCAGATCTCCCTTTTTGCCGTCACAAGATAAGTAAAAATCCTTTAGTTTCTGAAGAACGAACAACCCCACTGGGACTTTTTGTCAAACCACTCTATGGCACTTCCTTGACCTGCTTGAATCATGAAGAGGTCAGAGAAAGAGAATCTTTAAGCAGCCAAAGTTTACTATACACCAGCAAAGGGAAAATTATGCAAAATGCACGAGGCTAAAATACAAAATAAGAATCAGGGATGGAAAGTTTAAACACATTTCTTTACCAATAATTGGTAGTATTATCAACCAATGATCAGACACAAAATTAACTCAAATGATTCCGTGTCCTGATACAGCCACTTTAAATGCTGACATGGCCGCTCCAGTGATGTAGATGATCAGCCACAAAGTCACACAGATGCAGTGTTGATGCACTTCAGCTCGTCTACAAAAGGAGAGCTTTGGCCAGAAGGCATTATGCATCACAGAAGACTTTCTCGTGGTGGCTCTTTGCTATTTAAACTTCCAAAATTTTCTATGATTGCCAACATGGAACTACTGGTAGTGCAACTTGCTGCCTTTTTGGGTCTTAACCATTAAGAGGCTCCACCTGGTGGCATAACCAGAAACTACAGCTACGAAACAACACATTTCTGACATATCTGTCCGTCTTCTGCCTCATCAGTTCATATAGGTTTAACTAGTTAATGTCTGAATAACTAATAATCATTAACATCCTTAATCAAAATGATAAAGCCCTTATAGGAAATGATTTTTTGTTGTTGTTGCATTTTACATCTTCTTTTGTAAATGTGTCTGTAAATTAAAAAAACTACAGCTGCCAATTATAAAGAAACTGATAATCAGGATTTTTTTTTTCACTGTCAACCAGCTGAAAGCAGGGATTTAAACTGAATGGGTTGTTTTCTATGAGCAGAGCATACATTTTAAACATCAATACTGGAGCCAATCACGTTCATTTAACTGTGAGAAGCCACATTTGTGATATACCTAAAACTAATTTAGCTATTTATTCTGGAAGTCTCACTAAGATGAAGCTTTATTTTGCACAGAGGAAACCCTGTAAGGAAATGACTGTACCTATGCTATCATTATTACTGTATGAGCTAGCAAAGCTCTAAAAAAGCAGTTTGAGACAGAATAATGAAGCTGCCATGTGCAGTGTGCTGTGTGCTCTGAGTTTGACGGCTACTTGAAGGTGACAGGGAACACAGTTCATACAGAGCTGGGGGCCAATGGTAGCCTATAGCTCATTTTTGCTCCTCGGCCCCCCGGTGGGTTAATCCAGTTTTGGGTCAGGACGGAAAGGTCGCTCCAGATATTAAAGCATTCCACAGCCCAGACAGTCAGTGTGTTGCACTCATCTTATGTCATCTCTTAATTACCAACTGCACCGAAAAGATGAATTTACGAAATTATTTCTAAATGTTGCAGAGAAATAGTTCTAAATATACAAGAAATGCTTTAATTTTGTGCAACCATGGAAGACAATAATTGATGCCAGGTAGGCCACGAGTTCCTCCACACATCTGCTCTATGGACTCCTATGAGACAGTGTGTTCCTGATGTCCTTGCTTCTGTGTTTTGGCATTTTTAAGTATGACAACATGTCAGAAACACCCCATAAAGTTTGCCAAGAGACAAGAGAAGAGGCTTCCATCTGTCTTATTGTCTTATGCCCCCCGCTCTTGTCGTCATATTGTGTAAACTCACCATTACGGCGTGCACGGCTGACTGCACGTGAGCTTCGTTTCTGTCACACAAGTTCTCGTGCGTGCCCACAACATCTTTCTTACTCTCTCTCACTACTTTTTTGTCGCACACAACCAGCTCGTTCACGCACACGGCCTCGTCCACACCTGGTTCTCTTTAGCGGGAAGACCCCTGGAACAATCGTCTGTTCTTTCAGGCCGTATGGGCAGCGGGGTATAGAGGCTGGGCATCTGGAAGGCATTAGGCTTGACTAATACACACATGCTGTGCAGTGGCAGCTCCTGTAAATTAGACTTACCGCGTGGCGTGTGTGTGTCTGCGTGAGCGACAAAGGCTTAAAAAAAAAAAGAAAAGAGTCTAAGAGTGCAAACATTAAGACAAGTACAGCGTGGGTATAGGCGTGTGTGTGGCCAGTAAGCCTCCCCACAGGATGAGAGGCACACTCCTTCCCCCATGCATTAATTGGATTGAAGCCCCTACAGACTGTGGCAATTAAAAAATAACAATGAAGTGCAACCCACACCGGTCTGCTGTGTAACCGCCACTGTAATTTCCCGGCACTGTAGTTGGGAGCTGGGACAGAATAGCTGGGTTGCTCCACAGACGACTAAATCTGAAAACAATGTGTCCAGACTTCAAATCATTCCAACAAAAGATCCCGAACTACACGGATGCATCGCAAATAGCTTTTAAAATTTTCCAGAACTGTGAGGAAATAGTCCTAAAGTAGCCAGATTTTCAAAGCCAAAATCTGGATGCGGCTGATTGAGCAGCCTTTTATCAGTGAAATACTTCATTACAACACACTTTGGAAGATGTCAGGAAAATTAAATGTGCAATAAACAACTGAACGCATGTTCACTGTCAAAGCAGACTTGTTTAATTTTATTTCTTCACAGAGGAATTTCTTAAGAAATAGGTCTGAGGTTTAGGCACTAATTACTAAGCTGATACAGTGAAATCTAAGAAAGCTAAAACAAGCCCTAAGAGGTAATTCTTTCCATGTCCTCTTTGACTCGATTCTGATTGCAAAAAAAAAACAAACTCCTGGAATCAGAAATTGATGACTGTCCCGTTGGCTGCCTCGCCTCTAGACGCGAACTTCACTCTATATCTTCTCTGTGTTGTCAGTGGTTGCCAAAATTCCCACAGCTCAGCCTGTCACGCTGCCCGAGTGTGACTTCACCGCAGATGTTCCTCCAGTGGGTCAGAGCCTTAACAGCTGGACACGTCGCCATGGATACGCAGATACACTCACCGAATTAGCTCGAATTCTCATGACGCAACAGGAACCAAAGGACCGGCGTTCGTCCGGTGTCGTGCGACGTCCCCTATCGGCGAACGGATCATGTCGAAGGAATCTCGGCGTCTACTGCTGACTTATGAATATCTTAATGCTAAAAGTAGAGCAGTGAAAACATCCCGGAGCTAAAAGATGTCAGCTGTGAGAAACTCGCGAGCGATTCCGTTCAGGGTGTAACTTCGGAGAGCAATCAGCTTTGGCCCGGGTCTGAGCAACCACCTGCACTGGAACGGGGCACGAGAAAGAGAGCGCAGGAAGCCTCAGGAGTGTCTGTCCTCCAGCTAGCGCTCACTGTAATAACTTCAAGGTGTGTAAGTGGAGAGCGAGATGCTGCCATGTGATTTAGTCTTGGAGGAATAACGCTGGCTCTAGCAAGGTGAACTCCCTTTTCCTGGGAAAAAGAGGGTTCATGTTGGACCACTGATGCTGAAAATAAAAGTTTATATTGCAATTTTAGTGCAACACATGGTGATAATATATTCAATTTCAAAAGGATGTTGCGCGCTCACAATGCACCAAGACAACAGGATTTAGTGTAAATGAGGAGAAGTCACAGGATTTGCAGCCTTCTGACATTGTATATCACATAAATGAAGCCAGATTGTGGAAGAGCTTGAATTACAACACTCCAAGGTGGCCGTACGTTATAAAACTAGCGTCCTTACATAACAAAATGGCCATGAGAGAAAATATGTTCGGTACACTGTGGATGTACGAGGACGTGTCTCTTTGTTCTGTGTGTTCAGAGCGTTTGCATGCCAGCTTTCTGTCTACATGAGGAACAGTAGATCCAAACACTGCCGTCTCCACAGGGCTGTTTCTTGAACCCGGTGTGTTTGGAGTGTGTCTGCAGAAAGAGACAGGAGAAACAGCTACAACTTATGTAATCCAAAAGACACGAGGACTAAAATTTCATAAATATACTGTACAGAATCTGTGCATCTGTCACGAAAGTGCACGCAATCCAACACGTGAGTTCAAGTTTAGTGTCACCACAAGAGACTTTGGGGTATTGAGATGTTTTAAACAAGTTACGGCAAGTAAGGTTGCAAGATATTGGAAAAAACTGGCATTGAGATATTTGGTTTTTCCCGCAATATATAATGACACAGGAATTTTCACCAGATCGCATGATTAGTTTTGTAAAGGAGTGTATCTGCATCAAAATTACTCTCATACGGTTTAACACTTGCAAAACCATCTGTGCTCCTTGCATGCATCACACAGAACTTTGTTGAGCTGATTTAAATGGTCAAACAACTTAGCAGCAAAGTACCTGCTTTTTGGCAACACTGCCCTTCTGGTAGCAGAAATATTCGTTTCTTTTTGCAACCAAATATTCCTTTTCAGCGTTTCTCTCCTGCTCTGCACATGTGAAGCCTGCATGTCAACAAACACTGTGTCTTGGCAACAACACTGACATCTCTGTAAATCCAAGAACACTTAAACTGGATTAAATTCTCTTTTAGATTAGTCATGGAAAATAAAAAACGGGTAAGTTTACTTTTTGTATTTTTGACTTGCTTTTACTTCCTAAGATGTGACTGTTGCAGATGGCAGTACAGACACTGAAACGATATATTGTGCAGCTCTAACGGCCTCCTCACGTTATAATAACCACCTCTTCAGACAGCTCTCAGTCGCAGGTCTGACGGGCA